GAGCAGGGGTGAAGAACATGCTTCAGAGTTTATGCTTCAAGAGTTTATACACATGTATGCATGCATGATCATGTATGTACGTATGCACGTATGTATGCATATACAAGTCTATACATGTGTGCATATGTATATACATATACATATACATGCACATATATAACAACCACCAATAGGATCTCTCCTGCACCAGAACCTGAATCCCAAAACCATGCACCCTGGACCGTTTATTTCTCAATCCTAAACCCTAAACCCGTTCGTCAACCTCGCCAGGGACAAGGATTAGAGGTACTTTTGCCCAACCCATATCAGCAATTGGTGCTGTAGGAGCCCTACTTTCTACCATACTAGGTACTTAGGACGCTTTGGGACCTCGCCAGGGACAACCTCTGGAAGAGCAGTTGGAAGCTTTTTGCCGTCTTTGCTGGAGTGTCGCGGGCCTAGCACAGCACAGGGGGTAGTTGTTTTTGTTTTTGTTTAAGGTTTTAGGGGCTCCCTTTTTTTGTGGATTTGGGGGTTTCGATTTTCGGGTTTAAGAGATTAGGGTTCCATCTTGGGTTGTTTAGTTTGTTTTCAAGTTCCCTTCGTGAATCATCCACATGTTCCTGCATAATCCGGGCCTTGCGAACTTGCAAGTGCATGCATGCTTGTGAGCAGCCAGGAGCCTGGGGAACCCTTCAACTTTTCATTCGGTGCGTAGAGTTACAACTATAGAGTTACATAAGCTTACACGAATTAAGGCTCCATGAACCCACATAGTCTAGACTTAGGCCTGACAGTGCCTATATAACAGGGACCCCAAGTTTGAAGTATATACTATATGGGTGCATGGGGCCTTAGGGTCTTAACATCTCCAAGAAAGGCCGCTGCCGGAAGAACTGGTATCAGCCTAAGGGCCCCCCCCCTCCTTGGCATCTATAGTTGCTGAAAAGGCAGACCGGATCCCTCAAGCCTGCCCATAAGTTTGCGCCTGAACTTTTGAAAACCGCGTAACCCGAAATCTTGAACAAACCTCCTAGACCCTCCTCAGGTATCTCATCATCAGCATCATGGTCGGATTTGTCATATTGCCAATCCTCCGAGGCCAGCTGCGGGGATTCGGGGAGCGCAGTGTTGGTTTGGGACTGTGAGCTTCAGAGTTTGGGCTTAGGATTTCGGGCTTCGTGGTTTAGGGTTTCGGTTTAGAGCTTAAACTTATTTACCGATCGCAGTTAGAGCTTTCGGGTTTAGAGCTTATCGTTATTTACCGATCGCAGTTAGAGCTTTCGGGTTTAGAGCTTACCGTTATTTACCGATCGCAGTTAGAGGTTTCGGGCTTAGAGCTTATCGTTATTTTCCGATCGCAGTTAGAGGTTTTGGGCTTTGGAGCTTATTATTATTTACGATCGCAGTTAGAGGTTTCGGGTTTAGAGTCTATCGTTATTTACCGATCGCAGTTAGAGGTTTCGGGTTTAGAGCTTATGGTTATTTACCGATCGCAGTTAGAGGTTTCGGGTTTAGAGCTTATGGTTATTTACCGATCGCAGTTAGACTTTTTTCTGGGGTTGCACACCAGTAGAGTCTTACAACTTCGACCTTCCAACGCACTTCCCTCCTTTGATTACCCGATCCCTAAAGTAGGCGGAGGCACACACAACACTTCAGGGTCCAGAGATCCAAGCGGCCACTTTTTTTCGGGAAGCGGATGCAAAGGGGCGAGGAGGGCTTCGGGCTAAAAGCGGAGTGGAGTTTGGGGGTCGGGGATATTTAGGGCCGGGTTGAGGGAAGATCTGGGCTTAGCGTAGAAGCCTAAAGCAGTACCTGAATTATTCCCTTGGGCTTACTACAAATATAACAAACCCTATAGACAGTGCTGGTACATAAATTAGTCCATTAAGAAATTTAACAAATTTAAGCCATATAGAATGCCATATTCTCATCATTCAGGTCCCCCATATTGTAGGTTTTTCTTCAGCCGATGCTCTGGGTCTTCGGCTACTACTGCCGATGAGCCTCTTCCTCGTCCTACTGTGTAGTACTACATTGTTACCCAGAGGGTCCTATACATACACTACCTCTACGGAACTCGGTACCGAAAGACTATCCCTAGTATTATGGGGACTTAATTCCACAATGGCAGTGTCTATGGACGCTCCGGGTTACGGCGGGAAAGAAGCGAATCTGAGTCATTACTGGTACAGGGCACTGTGATCGTCACCATCGTCTTCATCAGGTCTTCCCTACCACAGTTGCCATGGTTATCTCTCGACAACGAACCATGTGCTAACTAGGAATCCCTTTCAAGGCCTAAGTACAGACGAATTATATTATGGGTACATTTAGCCTTAGGGTCTGTCGTCTCCTTGAGGATGATGCGGCTTTTCCGCACCTTCAGCAGACGGGCCCAGGCGAGACGCATCAAATCTCTGACTGAGAACCCGTTGGTCTTAAACAGGTATGTGACGAGGATTTGATTTGAGATTCAGTCAGGTCCGAAAACAATTACTTGAGCTTAGGGTTTCGTCTTTAGGCCCGTATATGTTAAGGGTTCAGGGCTCAAGCTACGTATATGTATCCGGGTTTAGGATTTAGACTTCAGGTATATCTTTTTTATGAGTATGGGTTTAGGATCTGTGGGGTGTAGGTGGTATAAGGTGTTGAGGAGTAGTAAGCTTCGGGCTTTGGATGTTCGATTTCCACCACGAATAAACGGCTTACAGTAGGGCAAAACCAGCAGCAACTCTAAAATGCAACTCAATGGCTAGCTTTGTCTCCTGCCAGGCCTCGTAACCGTCGCACGGTTTAGGGTTTTGGATGTTGCATTTAGGGTTCAGGGTCCCCGTGACCGTAGAACACCTGCTCTGCAGGTGCCATGCACTGGCGGTTCGGAGTCGCGGAGGGCAAAACAGGGAGTAGCAGGTGTCTGCATCTTTGACGGCCGGGCCGTGCCGGCTCCCTAAAACACCAATCTTCAAGACTCCTACCCTTTAAACCCTAAGCCCGAAGCCCAAAAGCCTAAAGCCCCGAAGCCCTAAACCCTAACAATGATGGTATCAGATGCGCTGCAGGCTACTGCTGCTGAGGGTGCCGCTGCTGCTGCTCAGACTACCGCGACTTCACCCACACTTCCGGTTTTGTTCTCGTACTGCTGCTGCTACTTCTGCCACACTTCTTGATGCTTCTCTTACTCCGATGAGGGCGACGCTACTCCCTACTTTCTCCCGATCGCATGATGTGATTTGATTTGGCCGCCGCACTTCGTCCTTTGGGCTTAAGCAAAACTGCCAACCGAACACTTTACGGTATAGAGTTGGAGGAGGCTGCTGGCTGGGTGTGAGGTGCACACCTCAACGCCGTGAATCAAGGCAGATTTCGAAGTCTCATAAAGTGCCTTCTCCCAGCTTCAAATATCATCAGATACATCCTGAAGCCAGGACGAAACCGGAAGAACTTATGGCTTAAACAGTAGTTTAAGACACTTTCATAAAGCCGTTGTAGAAACCCTGTAAGGCCCTAATGAAAACCTTGCAGACACCTCTTCTACAGTGTAACCCGGCAGCTGCAATCCAACTGCTTGCGCTGGTGTCGAGCCGGCTCTCCACCTGGATCCCCATCAGGCCTTGTAATTTCTCACATGGGAGTTTCCGAAAATAGGGGACCCTAGTATTGTACCCTAAATAGTAGCATCCTTACTATAAGGACCCCCAAAATAAGGTACCCTAATTTTCGGAAACTCTCACATAGGGGCCGAAATAATTGCCAATACTATGTTTTGTTGGGTGGGGGGGTCCTTACTATAACTACAGTATAATGGTCCCCAAAACCAAAACCTTATTCTAATGAACAAGGCCCGTATGTCAAGGGTCCAGGGTCTACTTTGGCCCCAAAGTAACTAGATAGGGATTGCTTTCAGGCCAAGGTATATACTAGTTGAACACATGGGTGGTTGTCGAAATTAAGGTCCCTTTTTGGGTCCCTATTATAATACGGCACCTATTATTTATGGTACCCAAAAAGGGACCATAATATTGACAACCACCCACATGGACGAGACCCTAAACCGTGTTTGGGGGGCTCAGGACTCCTGGGCATTGGTCTTGAGGGTACCTTCGAAAGGGCCTAATTACTTAAAGGATCATGGGACTTAGTAAGTGGGCTTATAAGTAAGGAAACTATACTTATTGTACTTGCTTATAACTCCCCTATGAATGTATTTATAACCTTACTTACTAAGTCCCATGATCCTTCAAGTACGTCTTTAGGCTTCCAGGTTACCTTCAGGCAGGGCCGAAGGCTGTGGACCTTACCCTAAGGGTCCAATTGACCCAATAATTAGGTACTTGGTTTTAGGATAGTAGTTATGTAGGTTAGGATTTTGGAGAGTATATGATAAGTAGGTACTTGGACCCTTGGGGTTAGGGCTTTAAGGGGTTTGGGTTTGGATTTCAAAGGGGTTCTGGGCTTTAGTGAGGTTTAGCTTCCCAGTCATAGAGCCCCCAAGAAGAGGCATCTAAGCGTCGAAGTCTCGAGCTATTATACAGGGGCCTCAATAATTACTAGTACGATTCTGGCGGTTCCATATTATGACTATGGTATAGTATGCCTCCGAACCCTGTTCTAATTATGGAGGCCCGCATATTAAGCCTCGAATCTCTAGAGCCGGAAAGTCCTACCTTAACCCCCAAACCCCACCTTCTCAAGGACAAATCTACAACATGGTAGTTGGTATCCTGAAACCTGTAGGCTCTGGGGTTGATGGGCTAACCCCCAAACTGAACACCGAAGCCCCCTGCAACCAGCCAGAGGGCAACAAGACCCAACCCCCCAACCCCCCCCCCCTCCCCCCCAAACCTGAGACCGCAATGGTTATTGGGGTTTTGGGTTTCAAGGCCAAGCTAAGGTTTAGTTAGGATTTTAGACATGGACTTAACAGAAGAGTTAACTACATAAGGTCTGGGGTTTGAGCTTCATTCCGCTCTAATCCCTAAGTCTCTGTCAAAACATGCACCTTACAACAGGTGGCCATGCGCGCGGCAGCAACCAGGCAGATAGATGTTCTGCAAACAGGGTATGTTGCTTTTAATATAGGGCCCCAAAAAAGCACATAAGCAAAAGTTAGGATAGGTATATCCCATATAAACCCCCTTATAATGAAGCCCAATAAAATAGGGATATCCCCATAAAATGCTTATGGTCCCTCATTTTAGAAGAACAAGAGCAGTCTTATTTCTCTATGGATATAGGGAACCTAGAAGCTGTGGCACCATTAACGGACACGTCTTCGTCCGACTGTTGCTGCTGGCTGTCTTGATGACCTGAGCACTCATATGCAGATCCTGAGCCTCTTTGCAAAAAAAACATGCCCTTACCATATCTTTTATAGACGACCACCTTATGGTGGCCCTAAGCCCTATAAACCCTAAACCCTAAGCCTTATAGCAAGGAATTGAAAAGGAATCTTTGAGGCTCCTTCAAGATGAAGACCCATGCACACGGGATCCCTAATTTTCCGAGGCCCTATATGGGTAGTTGTCAAGATTAAGGTCCCTTTTTGGGTACCCTAGATAATAGGTGCCGTACTATAATAATGAGCCAAACAGGGCCCTAATTTTGACAACTACCCATATAGCAAAACACCAGACTCACACGAAACTATACACTCTACACAAAAAATGCCCTACGCCCGAATAAACCGGGCCCACCTGTAAAACCGGACTGGGCCCACATATGATCCAATACCAGGTTCCTGCTGCCATTGATCTTGCGCTTCGTGGAGGTTTGTGCCGCATGGGTTGAGGGTACTCGGGTGTGCTTTTTGGGTTTACAGGGCATTTGAAGATGGTGATTGAATTAGGACTATATAGAGTCATGTTCTCTATAGTCTTTCTTTGGCAAGGTTTTCTCAGGGTTGGAGCTCAAAAGGTTCGGGGATTTTAGCAGAGATTAAGGGGGCCCATCGTGGTTTCGGCGCCGGTCGTTTGATGCAAAGGGGTTGATCCCACAGTTCGTGCAGGGTTTTCGTAGCATGGGGTTTAGAGGGCTAAGGGCAGAGTGTTGTCGGGTTTTAGTGGAGTTCGGGGTAAAAGCTGTAAAAGCTGACTTAAACCCTACATACATCCAAACCCTGCCCGTACCGACCTGTTTAGTTTAGCTGTCTGAAGTTAGGGTGCAAAGCTCAGACCTTGTTGGGGTTGTTTGCGTTCCGGGGACATACCCTGCGCGCTTCTTGTCGGGGAGGCTCTGCCAGCAGAGACGCCGTCAGAACGCCCGCAACTCAGGGAACCCTCGATGGCTCAAACTCGAGTCCGGGCGTCAATCAGAGTCCCGGATTTAGGGTATCTTATACTCGGCCCTGATCCACGAGGCTTAAGGATGCAGCATTTTCGAGTCTATTTTGGGGCGCACCTTATTCCTAGGTACTGTTCTGGGTGACACTCCCCCGAAGCATCACCGTACTTTCTTCTAAGCCCTAAATCCTGAAAAGCCTTCCTTTTTGGTGTTCCTTGTAAGCTTTCTTTATGAGTTTAAGATATTTTCAGGTTCATTGACAACAACATCCTGGTCAGCCTAAAGACCTCAAGCCTCGACCCTTTCACAGTCTTCCTTTGGGGGTACCTAACCTAACATACGATAGTTGTAGGTTGAAAGAAGCTCCAAACGCCTACGGTTCCTGCTCCTGCTCTTGCTCTTGCTGCTGCCTTTGCTCTTGCTCTTGCTGCTACTCTTCTGCTCTTGCTTCTGCTTTTGCTGCTGCTCTTGCTCCTACATCCGCTTAATTCAAAACCGGTTTGACCAAGGCGGTGATGATTTCGGGGGGAGGGATTTCCGCAAGGTGTTTTTATTATTATACGGTGGCGTTCAATGACTGGAGGAAGGGATTAGCTTGCGACTCTGGAATGTTGTGGAGCTTTTTTTTGTTGTTGTTTTTAATACGGGCTACTCTAAGGGGTTACGACAAGGGCTACTACTATAGGGGCCTTACGTAGCAATTGCCAAAACTGTTTTGGGCGTTCCTTATTATAATGATAGTATAGTGGGCCCCAAAACCTTGTTCTAATTGTTAGGCTCTGATATTTGGTTTGTTTATCATTGTGTTGAAGACTTTTCAGGGCTCCTTCAAAAATTTACTGAGGCGTCAGCTGCTCAGGGGACGACTGTGAGGCGTGGCAGATCATGACGAGCCGTTTTGCAATTCTTAATGTCAAATTTCAAAAGATACATAGACCCAAGCGGTTGAACAACTTCTATATGTTCATTTAGGGGCAGACCGGGCTGAATTATCGGGTTTAGAATCGAGTTTGGGACATGCATGCGGTTTCGCATTTCTTTCGGTTAGACGGAGCTTCGTGTCGACGACTGTGCAGTTCCTTCCCAAACACCCGCCAAGTCCGCACGATATCTTCTCCGAAACGCCGCAACAAAAAGCTTCAATCACGGTTTCCGACTTGGTTCTTCCGACCCGAAATGTGCTGAACCTCCAGACTCTGTGCCCTCTCAAAGATTACGGTTAAGCGGGATACCCTTCAAAGCTAAATCGCACGCTCTAAACTCTTTGCCAGCCCAGTGTTGTCAGACTGGTTTAGGATCCTGAATTGCAGAACTTGTGTTGGGAGAACAACTTTTGTTGTATAGTTAGTTAGCTCCACGACAACGAGAAAGACATGCAACAATGCAAAGAACTGCAACGAGGAATCTTTGTCCTTGCCGGTTTATCCTAGAGATTCAGACACCATCGTTTCAACATTCCCCCCCCCCCCAAAACCTGGTTGAGAATCTCCCCGGTATGCGCAAGTCTCGAAAGGCAGAGACGCCTTTGACAGATGTGCTGCTGCTGCAGGCAATCCATGAGCCAAGACTTTTGTGGTCCAGTTAAATAAGATGGAAAATAAATCCAAAAAAATGGTGTATGTGTGTGTGCGCGTCTGTGTATATGTATGTATATATATATATATATATGTACATTCATATATAGATATAGAGAAGGGGTTTGGGATTTAGGGATAGGAGGGTATGGGGTTTAAGTTTGAGGGCTTAGGGGAGCCCTAGGCATCGATCCCGGAATCACAGTCTAGCTCTCTCTCCCTAGTAGTAGAGTAGACAACCTTTAACTAAACCCTAAACCTTAAACCCTAAACCCTTTTTTGAGTAGTATAGTCCCTATATAATCCCTATACACCCACTTTCAAAAAGGTTAACCTTTAGTTCCCCATGATACCCGACAAGTAGGTCTATAGCCTTTGCGGACGGTGAGCCCCTGTCTCGGTAAGCTTCGGGTTCAGGGTTTTAGGGTTTGGCGTTAAGGGGTTTAGGGTTTTGCCTTGAACTGCATCTCTAAACGTTGAACCTTTATAAGGACCTTTCTCCAAGCCCCAGGTTGCAAAGTGCCTGAATCCCGAAGTCATCAGCGCTGAGGAAAAACTAACGGCTTCAGCTGCGCTTGCATTAAACTGATGACAATTTGGGCGTCACCCCATACCCTAGGGCTCCAGGTGCCCCAAAAGCAGATTACTGACCATCTGCTAAGTATGCCAGTATCCTACCATTAATGAACTGAAGCCCCAGGGATATGCAAAAAGTCAGTCCAAGCACTGCCGAGGGTGGTGATGAGGCAATCATGCTGTTGACGATTGTAACAATGATGATTGCAACAAAGTTGAGGATGGTGGTGATCACGATGTTGCTCCTGCTGTTGATGCTGTGGTGCTAGTGCTGCCGCTGCTGCTGCTGCCGCTGCTGCTGGTGCTGCCGTTGTTGGCGTTGGTGATGCTGATGCTGACAGTGAGGACGAGTGATGATGGTGATGATGATGATGATGGCGATGGCGATGCTGATGCTGTTGATCATGGTGATGGTGCTGGTGTTGATAGTGATGATGACTCGGATACTGACGGCGAAAGGGATGATGATGGTGTTGTTGATGATGTTGTTGATGATGTTGCTAATGATGATGATGATGATGGCGATGACGAAGACGACGGTGATGACGAATTCTGACCTGCAAGCCCCTGCCCCACCCACACCCACACACACCCCACACCCTACGAGCCCTTGGCAGCTTGGCGTCGCCCCAGCGGCCAACGCAAGCGCAGCGCTCCCGGGCAATGCCAGTGTCGACTTGTCGGCCGTCCAGGCTGGCACATAAAGTATGGGCCCGGCGGTTCCTTATTGCATTTCTTTGTATAATGGGCGCCCCAAACCTTATTCTAATGGGCGCCCCAAACCTTATTCTAATTTTTAGGGCCCCTATGTTACGGACTTGCGACAATTACGACCAGCCGTTTGTTCTTGGCAGTGTTGCTTGCCACCGGGTTTCATGCTTCAGAGTCGTTGTTGTGTTCCCATACATCTGCTGGGGTACTAGTAGGTTTCAGGACCTGGGGGGTTGCTCTTTTCCTTGTTGTTGAACATCCGTACTACACGGCGGGCTTCTGAAGTTTCTGGGAAGGAAGCAGTTTCGGGTCTAGAGGGCTTTGCTTCCCTTAGCTACGCAGAGGTGGCGACAGCTTAAGGTTAAATTGTAAATCAAGGAGCCCTTTGAAAGGAACCGTTAAAGGGCAAGGGCCTGCAAGTGAGGACGATAAGTTCAGTCACGCATGTGCCTCTGCTATTGCCTCGAAGAACACTTGGAGTTAGAGTCGAATGTGAACGCGTGAGTAACAGTCCTTCCCCACGCACTTATATAGCCAGGCTGATATTAAAGAACCTGAGCCCGGGCGCCTGTCAGGAATGGTGCTTTGCTACAGTATTTGTGTTTCTTTCTTGTATCTTTAAGGCTCAAAACAGCCCCAAAGCCTCCTATAGTATGGTCTTTGGGCCCAAAAGCCTTAACATATGAGCTTCCTTATGAGATCCCTAGGGTCTGAGTCTGCGCCCTAAACCCTGAACCGTAAACCTGTATGAGTCGATGTACAGCGGTGCATCGTTTAACGGGGGCGTTGGCTCCTGGTCCGCAAACCCTAAACCATCCCTAAATCCCAGAGTCTCAGCCCACACGGGGGTCCCACCCCAGCCCACCCTAACATAGGGACCTTACTAGTTACCTATAGTTTTGGGGGTTCCTTATTATAAGTATGTATAATGGGCCCCTATACTTTTTTGGGGGTTCCTCATTAGAATTATAGTATAATGTGCACCAAAACCCTATTCTAATTACTAAGGCCCCCTATTTTAGTGCCTATCAGCGAGGACAGAACCGCCGCAGCTTCCCCATCCGCCCTCAGCGAGAGTGTGGGCAGGCACGAGAGCTACGGTTGATGATATAAATCCTGCATTACCCATAATAAGGAATATGCCATAATTCCCAAAGTTTAAGGCCATTAAGGTAATGCAGGATTTCTATTATCAACCGTAGGACGAGGATGGGAAAATGTGAACCGGAAGCCCCACCAAGCCATCCCCAGAGAGCCCAATACCCCTTAATTAAGGAATATACCTTAAATCATAATAATTATAATAAGGCCCCTATATGTTAAGCCATATTCCTCAATGAAGGGGTATTGGGCTCTCTGGGTCCGGGAGTGTCTTCGAAAGGCTCCAAACCTCACATCCCCAAGTCCCTACATTCCTAGACCCTAAACGCTAAACCCTCTACCCTAAACCTTATACCCTACTAAACCCTAAACCCTGTACCCTAAACCCTAAACCCCTAAGTCCACAGACTAACTGAGCCCACAAACCCCCCACTGGATGGTTGTCAAAATTAGGGCCCCTCTCTGGTTCCCTAATACAATACGGCACCTATCATGTAAGTACCCCAAAACTTAGCTTTTTGGGTTCTTATAATTTAGTAGGAATCGGAAAGCTAAACCTCGTATTTCTGTGGCTTATTGGGGTAGTAAGGAACGGGACCCTGTTTTTGACAACCACCCCGCTGTCTGCAGGCAGAAGCTCCCTTTGGACCTGCTTTGGCGGGCCATGGCCGAGGTTCGCAGTCGAGCGCAGGGTTTACGCTGGTGGCCTAGGCCTGGGGTTTACCTGGACCCAAAAGAACCTACCTTTTTTTAGGGTTCTCTATTATGACTTCCTTATTATATAAGTCTTTAAGAAAGTAGGTTATTTGGGGTCAAGGTAGGGGTTTAGGGGTTAAGGGTTTAAGGCTTGGTGTTGAGGGTTTAAGCAGTTGTCGGACAGAGTGTAAGACGCAGGAGGGGGAGGACACAAGGTGAGGACAGCTCGAGTACCATATGATTTCCAGCCATATGCTTTCCAGCCCTTCCAAACCCAAGCTTAAATGGTACGTGGGGTGGGGCAAGGGGCTTAATCGCAGCTTTCGGGGACTGGGTCTCAAGACGTCTAAGGTTAAGGGCCAGGGACCAAGGCGAGGGGGTTCAACGCCTCGTGTAAGCAAATTATACCACTCTGACAGCACCAGCAGTAAATCAATCGGACTTCAGTTTACAGTAGAAGCCAAAAAGTGGGAAACCCAATAGCCTCATTCCTTAAGAGTAATGATTCGGGAATCCCGGCACCATTTGGCCTTTATCCGGGTTTCCAACTTTTTGGGGTTTACTGTACAGGACCCGCTGAATCTCGCTTAGGATCTTCGTTGTCTCTATACCTGCCCCGTGCCCTAAAATCTGAACCCCCTCTGTTCGCAGGTTACCGTCGAGCGCGTGCGCCGTGCCCTGCTGATATGTATGATCATGGCCTGTGCCTCAGAGTCGCAGAGTTGCTTGGACTTGGGTCCTTTACCTAGTAGTTTTTGGGTAGTGTAGTCCCTATATTATATAGTCCCTAGATAACCAAAAAAGGTTAACCTTTAGCCTTTAGTTCCCCATGATACCCGACAAGTAGGTTTAAGGGATGTGTAAGGATCCATGCAGGGTTGAGGTTCCTTTTGGTGTGTAAGGGATCGGTGCATTGGGGCGTGGGCCGGCAGAGAAGCTGGAATTCGGGTTTAAGTGCTGGAGTTAGGATTTGTGCCCGAGGTTTATATAGGGTTATAGGGCTTGGTGATGCATTCACGGATTAAGTTGTCTAGCGTGTTCAATTCTAGATTCTAGTCTTTACCTAGAGGCTCCATGGTAGTTCCTTTCTGTGGTTTATACTTAGGATCCCATAAGGTAACCCCAAAAAGGAACTGCAATGGAGCCTATGGGTAGTTCTTTGCGTAGGATCTCCGATGAGATCTCTAGACGTGGCCCGAGGTGGTTGCGCAGCTCTTCGGCATCATGACGGGCGCTCAGACGACTTCGAAGTCGTGAGGTGTCAGTCTAGGGTTTGGGGTTCAGGGTTTTGGGTTCAGGGTTTAGGGTTTGGGGTTCAGGGTTTGGGTTTGGGGGTTTGAGTTAAGGGTTTTTCTACCCGAGCGCAACGAAGCAGGTAAAGCAACTGCCCAACACCCATACCTGGCGATTGTTCTAGGTACCTTTGGGGTTCAAGGAGGGTTCCTTTTCGGGTTTAGGGTATTAGCACGCAGCGTTGGGGTAGTTTAGGCTTATGGTAGCAAGGAGTGATGTTGCTTGGCTTTCCGGTTCAGGGCGCGCCTTTAGTTTCATCACGATCGCCATCTTCAGCATGAGAAACATCATCATGTGCAGTAATGATATCGTCCTAAACCCTCGCAGACCCAAATCCATGAAAGCCCCCAAAATCCCCCAAGCCCTACAACCTCAACCCAGGAAAGCCGCAATGTAGAGAAGCAGATGTTGCCTTCTGACTGGGAGCTTTCTGAGCCTTCTATAAATCACCTTCAACACGTCAAGGTTCAACTTTTTTGGCCTATGAGCTGGGCCACCGGGGACCTCTGGGTTCTCCCCACCCTTGGAGCATCACGGGACTTAGTAAGGTTATAAGTTATAAGTACCTTAAGTGAGGTTATATGAGCAATTTTAAGCATACTGTACTTAGAATTACTCATGTAAACTCCAGTAACTATACTTAGTATAGTTACTGGAGTTTGTTTATGACCTTACTCACCAAGTCCCATGATGCTCCAAACCCTAAACCCGAAACCCTTACCAAGCAACCCCAAGTGCTCAGGTGGATGTCGTCCCGGCAGGCGAGGACCTTGGTGGTTTGTAGCAGTTGTCAGTTGTCCGCTTCGAGGTGTCAGGGGTGTTGTTCGTTGTTTTGGCTTTTTGCAGGGGGGTAGAATTGCTGTGGGACAGTGGTGGCAGTAGTAGCAGTTGTGTTGTTGTTGTTGTCGTTGTGTGTGTGTGTGTTGTTTTTATGTGTTATTCGCAAGGATTGCATGTGTGGCTTTGGGATGGGGTGTTCAGTCTTAGTAGTTGGGTCCTCGATTCTTTTAAGATGTTTTCATATGTGGTCTCATGACTTCGATCCGAAGGGCGACTTGCCAGTTATCTGGCAAGCACAGGAGGTTTCGGGTGACATGGAAATGGTACAACTCATAGAGATATAAATGCGACAATACAACCTCTGTCGGCTTTTCCGGGCTTGTAATAGGCAGGTGCGCTGCGAAGACCAGGTTGCGAAGATGCTGCGACTATGGCAGAGAGCCACCGAATGCGGTGTCTGGGAACAGCTACCAAACATGCAAATTTATCCTGAGCTGGGGGCTTGCTGGGCAGGTCAGTGGAGCTCGCCTTCGAAATGCGACAGCTCGCCAGAGGATTTCACAGCCCTGGCCTCTAAAACTTTAGGACAGAGGTGGCCAACATGAAGAAAGAGGACCTCCGGCACACAATCAAAAACATGGTGGCCACCGTAGGCCCATACGGAGGCCTTCTTGGGCAAGACTGAGACTGAAGCTCAAGTGTTGACGTTGAATGTGCTGTCCATGAGCTGCTTCTAATCCCAGTAGAGTTTCTATACCGAATTAAGGAAAGACGAAGTGACAACCCACAAGCAGCGACGCCTCAGAAGCATATCTGTAACATATCAAAACCCCAAAGGGCCACAGTCATGGGGCACACTTCCCCAAACCATAACTGTAATTTCCAATAAAGAAACCCTACATTCTGCTCTATAGGTACTGCTAGAACCCCTTGAAGCAACCCTCAACCCTAAACCCTGAAAAGAACTCTTAAGATTTTGGGAGCCCAAGCTCAAACTCGGTAGCGGGGGGAGCTTCCCCCCCAACTGGAAAAAACCAAGCCGCCAACCCCTAGTTCCGTGCGAGACGCATCACCAAAAAAATGAGTTTAGCGTTTAGGGCTTGAAGTCTTACCCTAGGGATCTAAGGACTCATATGTTAAGGCCTTTGGGCCCAAAGACCATACCATGTAAGGCTTTTGGGCTGTTTTGATCCCTAGGGTTAAAGCATCAAGCTGATATCTGAGAAGGGGCCCCCACCCTGTAATAGTGACTATAAGGCTATGAGGGTTACATTATAGGGCCCTATTATATTCCTATTATACCACTATTACAGGGTGGGGGCCGCTTCTAACTGATATCCTAAGCCCCGAGAGTTTTAGAGCATCCTGGAGCTGCGGCCCTAGCCCTAACTAACCATTGATATTGCTGGATTTGGAGTACCATACTTGAATACTTTTTTGGAACCTGTTCCTTAAAGGAACCATTCTGAAATAAAAGTCTATACTTTTTTCTCCCTGGTTACTTCAAAGTCCAGTATTGGGAGCTGCTAAGGAGCCAGGGATGATGAGAATTCCTTTTAAGTAAGGAGCCAAAGAGCCAAGGGAACCCCCAAAACCACTGGTTAGCTAAACCCCAAACCTTCAAGCCTGAAGCCCTGTCATTGAAGCCGAAACTTCCGGACTTTACTAGACCAGACCATTTTTCCATACTAGACTGTACTATAACTTTATATATAGAGTAATGTTTATGACATAGTATGATATAACGTAATGTACTGTGACATACCTCAAACCCTAAACCCCTCAAAAAACGGAAGCGTTTTTAGCTTTTCCAAGGCCAAGAATCTTCCGTGTCCCGAACCATTGCCGCGCGTTGAGCCGAGGAGAACGGTTTGTTTTTGTCTAATCTTTTTTGGGGTTTAGGGTTTAAGGTTTAAGGGTTTAGGGTTTAGGGCGTTTGGAGCACGTGTCCATGTGTTTGTGTAGCTGTCTTTGTGTGTTCGTGGGTGTCGAGGTGGGTGGATGGATGGGTGGGTGGGTGTGCGGTGTGCGGTGTGGGTGTGGGGTTGCAGGGTTTCACTGTTCGCGGCTTGGGGCTGATGGGAAACCTTTGGATGTGTCGGGTGCGGGGCTACAGGTCTGAATGTCGGGCCGGGGAGCGTCAGGATACTTGCTTGGTGTTCATTTCCGGAGTCTCGGTAATGTAGAGATTTAGGACGTAGGGCTTCGGTTGAGGATTTTTGCTGGGAGTTGGGCCGTGTTGGGGTGGTGGTTGGGGATCAGGGGTTGAAGATGGAGTTCAGCCGGGCTCTACACCTTGTGCCGTTGCGAGACAGGTTGCTAGCTGGACCTGGAAGAGGCAATGTAGGAGTCTCATTCCAGCAGCTGCGGCAGGAGCAGCAGCATGAGTACTGCAGTTGCTCTTGCTGCTTATGTTCACGCTACGGTGTTTGAACCATTGACAGCAATGACGAGAGCAATAGTCGGGGTGATGACGAAGATGATGATGAGGATGTGGATGAGGATCAGGATGGCGATGACGACAAAGAGTAAGTTGGATCTCAGCCCTAAACCCTCAACCCTAAACCCTAAAGCGACTAGCAGCACACGGACAGACCCAAGAGCCATCACCCCACGCAGGATGTACCATCGGGCCGCCAAGTCCGAGTCTCGAGATTACGACCTTTCAGCCTGTTGTCGCTGTTCGACAAAGACGAGCCTAGGTAAACCTGCATGATCCATGCCTTGATGGTTCTCTTTATAATTTGATCTGGTAAGACATCGGGTTTACCGGTCGCTGAGCATGTAAAAGGTAGTTCCTAAACCCTAAATCCTAAGATGTGGCGCCTGTTGCAAAGCGCCGAGGCTCCTAAGACCACAAAAATAGAAACTAAAACCATTGAATCCTGGTAGTTTGGTGCTATGTCCCAAGACGCCCCAATGATTCTGCTTAACATGGTCCGGACCCTGTAACTAGTGCACGGTTTCAAGTCGTGGGCTCTGCCCAACATCTGCTGCCTTGGACTTACCAGGTATGCCCATGCCCCATCGAGCCGAAACTACGCCTCCCTAATGTAGGAGCCTTAAAACAACTTGAATAGGGCTTTCGGGGATCAGTATGCTACACTTATAATAAGGATCCCCCCAAAATCGTATCCTAAACCCTAAACCCTATTGGTAAGTATTTAGGCCACTATGAGCTCACCTTCGCGTGTTGCAAACCTGTGCTTGATCGCCAGGCTCTAGAATCTTTCTTGAATTCGCTTCACCTTAGCTAGAGGGTCATATGCTAACCCCTTTTTCCGGATGCCTAATTCTATGGTTAGGATCTGTTTTATAGAAAAGTAGGTACCTCAAAAAAGGGGTATGGTATGAGCCTTGAGGTACAACCTAAACCCTCATGTGCATTCCCTCTTTTGGGTTTGGACTCCCCCTCGTGCATCTCGCTCATAAGCACGCACCAAGACAAGTTTAGGTTTTGTAGGGCTTGGAGCTACAGGATTGGCCGTGCAATAACCCCGACAGCTATGCCAAATGGCCATATGCACTACACTTATCTCATCCTCACCTCACTCAACCCCAAGCTCAAGCTCTTTCAAAGTTCAAATCTGGTTCTGAAGGAATTCGCTGAGGTGTAGGAATTAGGGGCTAGGGGTGGGGTTGTCTTTGAGTTGAGCTCGCCTGGTCTCAGGGGTTACCAGCTTAAAACTGGTTTGAGGATCTTGGGATCCTCTAACCCTGGATGAACGTGGGAGTTTCCGAAAAGAGGGGTACCTTATTTTAGGGTCCGTGTAATAAGGGTCCTACTATTTAGGGTACCATGGTAGGGTCCCCTGTTTTCGGAAGCTCCCATGTTGTGCTTCAGAAAGACACCAGGGATCGGATTCGATTTGATACCTACACCCAAGTTTCTAAACCCGCAGCATTCGAGTGAGGCAGTCGGCGAGCTGATGGCTATCGTTTGCAGCAAGCAGTTCAGCTGTCCAAGATGAAGAAAGACACATAGTTTTATACTTGTATGAAGAGTTAATGTCATGGCCCTCATCAGTGTTGCATACGTTTCACGTCGCCCACCCAACGAAGTTCAGTCGTAGTGACTGAACGTCCGTGGGGGCAACTTGGACGAGACTCGTTGGTGGCTGTGGCAAGATTCCCATACTTGCGCATTAGTTCCTTAACCTCAGTGCGAAATCGTAACATGCGGGCCGAAATAATTTGGGGGGCTCCTTGTGGTAATAATGGTATAACGGGCCCCAAAACCCTATTCTAATCATTAAGAATTAAGGCCCCTATAGTCAGCGGGTTCAGGGCCGGCTTCACTGCTTGAGTATCCCAGACCTTCCAAAATGCCTTAATTAAGGAATATACCTTAAATTATAATAGGATCCCTTATATGAATTAAGGTATATTCCTTAATTAAGGGATTTTGGAAGGTCTGGGATTTTAGGTTATGATATGACTGTCGGAGTCACTCACGGTGATGTTGTGTGAATCGAAGTGCTTAGCAGTGTTGTTCCCTTCCAATCCGTCATGGTAATTACTGTACCTACTTAGTCATGCTAAGGATTATGCTCATGTCTACCCCCCCCTTAATTTGTAAGCCCCAGTAAGCCCCAAAGAGGTGGGAGTCGTATCTTCCTCCATACGCCGAGGTTCTTGCTGTAGGTAGAACACGTGGCAATCAGCTGGCAGAGGGAGCTAATTTGAACAGGGCGGGGCGTACTCTTCCAAAGAAAAGCTAGAACTCATTGTTCTACAAGCGGCATCATGAAGTCTCTAATCATCCGACATCGAGGTTTGTTTTTCTGCGCCCTAAGTCCCAAATCCTATCGCGAGATCAACTCCGAACCTTGGCCCTAAAACCTACAGCCTAAATCCTAGATTGAATTGTTGACTGTAAGCACATGTTAGCCCCAACCGCTTCTGAACATGAGCTCAACATAAAAACAGTTTCAACATGCTGCAGCCTTTGTCCATTCAGATTATGGAAACTGCTATGGCCCCTTACTCCCTACATCATCTTCCTACCATCGGGTTGTCTATTTAAATGTTTAGGGAGTTTGGGCTTTTAGTGTACAAGATCCATGGTTTCATTGTTTACCGTTTAGGCTTACATAGGGTCTACGGGGGTCCTGAAAACAAGAGCCCCAACCAAGTGACATGGCCTAGCTAGTCAGCCCGAGGGCCCATGTGGGTGGTTGTCAAAATTATGGTCCCTTTTTTGGGTTCTTAATATAATACGGCACCTAGTATTTAGGGTACCCCAAAAGGGACCCTAATGTTGACAACCACCCATGTGGCTGTACGGTTGATACTCTGGCTTGCCAGAAGGGGTCTCCTGTATCTCGGGGACCCAAAAAGCGCATAAGCATAAGTATTTTATGGTGATATCCTTACCTTATTGGGCTTCATTATAAGGGGATTTATATGGGACATCCCTACCCTAATTTTTTGCTTATGTGCTTTTTTGGGGCCCTAGTATCGTTGTTTTAGGGCGCAGGCTAGTGTATACTTGAGTGATTAAAAATGTGAACTTCTGAGCACAGGCACCCTTAAGAGGGATTTAGAGTGGGAGTCCAGACAGCTAGGTTCAAGAAATACCGAGACCTTCCAATGTCCCTTAATTGGGGAATATGCATTAAATCGCATTAGGGGCCTTACTATAATAATTCAGGTATGTTGCTTCGTAAGGGATATGAGACCGTTTGGATAGCTTCGACAGTGGAGAAGAGACACATGCATGCCTTTCTGCATGGTGTCGCAGCTTTGGCTTGCGACCTACGTAGGTCCCCTAAACCTTAAGCAGTAGACCACACCCTTAACCATCAACTCTCAACGCTAAACAACCGTAGTCATAAGCCCACCAACCTAACGAACAGCAACTGACCTCCATAGCCCAATGTGCTTACTTAGGCCCCCACACTTTCAACCGCCCTTCGTTCAGTATGTGAATGCCCATTCAACATGACAAAGAAAATAGGGTTTAGCGGGTGCTTACCCGAACCCCAAAAGTAAGTGGAATCATGTCATGGCCCAACACCCATATAAACGGCTACCATTCACATACTTGTAGGGGCTTGGTGTGGCTCTTTAGGTCCCGAGCTTCATGGGGCACTGAGCCCATATCTCACTTGCATCCGAGCTTCGTGTGGATGTCGCGCCTGCATCCCGAGCGCGGCTCGGCTGCTCCGGAAACCGCAAACCTCCTAGGTTGCTGAGTGGTACCATTTTGCACTTTTCTTGTTGTGATTCCTCTATTCACCCCAAATAGTAGGAACAAGTTTACCCTTATGACCTTATGATTAAAAGGGCCACTCAGGAACCAGGCCTCTTTGGAAGTTGTTCAGTGCTATCTCCCAAAACTTCGACTCCGGAACCAGAACCCGCAGTCAAACCTTGTGGAGTTCCCTGCGTTGAATTCTAGCCAAGAGGCCCAGACAATCATCATCCCTTAGTCAAGGAAGCTATTCAGACACACGTATGGTCCCTAATGCGGTTTAAGGTATATTCCTGCGTGAAAGGGATATCGGAAGGTCTGGGGACCATATATCCTGAAGACGACGTGACTCTGAGAAGTACAGCGCGGGCTTTGCATCCTAGTTTGGTCGTCTAGTCATTCTCACAAGCAACTTTAGGCATAAACTCTTCGAACGCCGACCAGGTAGGGTAGGTAACCCAGAGGGGCCAGATCTGATAATCTACCTATAGTATCCTTAGGAATTGGTTTGTATTTCTTTCATATGACACCCAAGAGAATATTAAACATATTATGGTTCTAAGGGGGGTATGGCTACTACATTCTACTACCATTATGGAACAAGGACCCAGAAGAGGCTTGTTTGACCAAGATCCGTAGTATTGACATATGCGTATGTCTGGACCCTCAGGGTAATCTACTTCCAACACCTGTGTGCAAGAGGGGCCAAGCGTCTCAGTCTGGGTCAGCCAATCATACAAGGGCGAAGGAAACGGTCAATGCTCGTTCTTGAAGGTCTCTTTAAGCCTGAATCTGTCCAGTTTAAGGTTTAGGAATCAAGGGCTGGGGCTCGGGGCTTTGAGTTTGGGGTTTAGGGAGTACCATTGGGGTCTTAATAACGACTTGTACTATTTTGGAGGGTTCCTTTATTATAACGGGCCCCAAACCCCTATCCGAACTATTAAGGCATTTTTCTAAATCCCATAATAGCTCTTATAGTAACCCTTATAGACCCCGTAAAGGAACCCTTTTTTCAGGCCCTTAATATTACTTGGCTGAGGGTCCAAGTCATCACGCTCAAAAATCCAGGTCTAAGACATGCTCGAGGCGGTGCTCACGCGTATCATCCTTCGGTATGCGCAGCGCTTCTCGGCTTTTCGAGTGTTTAGTAGTATGATGGTGATACTGGTGAGGATGATGATGATGATGATGATGATCCTGAGGATGTCGATGAAGATGCTGAAAGACCAGGACGAGGATGACGAAGAATCTGCTATGGTCGAGAAACTTCGGAAGGTTATTGCCTGCAGAGGTTGTGCAGAAATCCTTTCACCTGCGAGTGATCTAAGATTACTGCTGACACTGCGTGTCGGTAATGACAGCTTGGAACCGAATACCCCAAGCACTCAATCCTGTCATTCAACGGCATGTGGCAACGTTCAAAGTGGACTTTCTCCACATCCTTTCCCCGCATCCAACGAATAAAAACACCGTGGTCCGCTGTATAACTGCTAACTCTCATATGGGTGGTTGTCAAAATTAGGGTCCCTTTGGGGGTACCCTAAATAATAGGTGCCGTACTATATTAGGGACCCCAAAAGGGACCATAATTTTGACAACCACCCACATCAAAGCTAAACCCCAGAAGCTCTATCGGTTCCTGCGCAGCAGACTGCCCTAAACCCTAAACCCTAAACCGGCCTAGACTTGGGTCTCTCGGAGTGCAGCTCCACTGTGCTTGAGACCTCACCTAGGGCTACAGGGGCCTAAATACTTACCAAGGCTTTTTTTTTTTTTGAGGGGGGGGGGGGGGGTCCTTATTTTGAATATCGTATAATGGGCCCCAAAGCCATATTCTAATTATTAAGGCCCCTCTTTTCGACACTGCTCTGTTCATCTTCAGCCTTTAGCTTTAGGCCCCCGGTTATGAGGCTCCGGGTGCTGACTGCCCTTCATACTACGAAGGAGGCTTCGGGTTCTGCAGTAGTGGGAGCACTGACGTCAAAGACGCTGTCCCAGGGAAGATTGGAAAGGAGGGGGCCCCAAAGCATCTACATCTTTCAACCAGGGACAGGGAAGCTCGAAGCAGCAAAGCCCCACAAAAGTCCAGACCTTAACTCGCACATCCTACCTATAGTCTCCATTATAGTTCCTTTTTTGGTTAACCAGACTCATAGTCGTATAGGATCCTAACCATAAAACTGGTCAACCAAAAAACGGAACTACAATGGATACTATAGGTAAGCCCGAAACCCTTCACTCTAGACTTCCAAAAGGGGAAAGGAGGGACCCTTAATAAGGACCCCTAGGTATATACCCATAATTTATCTATTATATACCCATTATATAGCCCATTATAGGGTAGGGGTCCCCATCAAGGGTCCATCCTTTTTCCCTTTGAGACTCTAAGTCTCTAAATGTTCCTGCAGGTTATATCTGCGACACCCTGAGGACCGACTCTTTGTCGCTGTGGCTCTGTGGGCATTGGTTTTGTGTCGAGGCCGTACGGTACGGGTGTTTTATGTGTATTTGCCATGTATAGTTTATTTTTGTGGTGGTGGTATGGTGAAGCTTTAAGCTGCAAAACAGCTGCAAGGGAGAAGAAGCGGAAGACCCCTTTGAGCATGGAAGGAGCAGCAACTCATCACACTCCGACTGCATTATGTAAATCTTGACACCCAAAGGCCAAAGCCTTCGAACGTTTCAGCAACGTCCGTAAGCAATCCCATGATATCCCCAGAACCACCAAACCCGCCCTGCAGCAACCATAGAAAATCACTCGGCAGCCCTTGAAGCACAAAGTCCTACTAACACCCGAACCGCTATAGCCTAGGCTCTTCCAAGCCTACACCCTGGCACGCCAAGGCCACGCCTTAAACCTGCAATCTCGAACCGTATACTCGTTAACCCTCAACCGGCAAGTCGTGAATCTTAAACCTAAATCCAAGCCCCCGAAACCCACACCGCCCTGATCAAAAAAGCTTTAGACATGAATGAAACCAACAGAAACTAGACAATTCGTTCCAGGCTTTACGACGTAGACCTGTCAAACATCCCCCAACTAGAGACCCGATCCAAACCTTAAGCCTGTTTGCTTGAATAGAATAAAATAGAGAATATGGAATAGAATATGCATATAGAATAGAATACAGAACAGGATATAGAATAGAATAGAAAAAAGTATAGAACAGGGTCTGCAATAGAACCTAAATATAGCCTAGAAATGACTACAAGCCAAACATCTCAGGTGGGGCGGCGACCTCCGTGTCGCAAACTTCGAGCTCCGAACCGAGGAGCTGGCTCGAGCGGCTTGGCCGCAAGGGTGGAAAGCCGCAAGTGGTTGAGGGTTTAGGGTGTACGGCTTAGGGACTATGGGTTATAGATCATTACCTATACTATTTTGCGGTTCCTTATTGTAATGATAGTATAATGGGCCCGAAAACCACATTCTAATTCTTAAGGCCCCTATACTATCATTCGAAGCAAAAGGTGTGGAATCCGGTTCGAGGTCTGGAGCCAGAAGGTCTATTTGTACTGAGAAGTAGGGTTCCGATGGCGCCCGTGCCTATGTTGGGGTTTTCTGTCACCTGTTGAATATGTAACCGTCACGTGTTTTTTTGGTTGCCGATGTCCAGCGTCATCGTAGCATTGTCGTGCTGCAGTAGGAGCATTAGCAGCACCGTCAGTAGTAATAAAGCGGTCGCTAGTGCCGTATCTCGTAGTGTTGCCGGAGTTCCATGGATGCTGCTGCAGTTCGTGTTTACAATGACCTGCATCCAGGGTTCCGGACGAGGAATCCACCGTGGGGACTAGTAACAAGGTGACCATGTTGGTGTGCCACCTCCAAAGAGTTGTAATACAGCGGCCGAATTAATTACAAATTAGAATTAATTATCGTAATTATAATGGGTGCAAAAACCCTATTCTAATTATTAAGGCCCCATGTATTAACCCAGCCTGCAGCCAGTGTGACATCAGAGTCCAGACCGTCAAACCCGAAACCTTGCACACCACACCTCGGTCAATCCCCAGCTGCTGGTCTTTCAGACCGTCAACCCCAGACCATAAGCTCCAAACCCCCAACTTCAAGCCTCTGTGCCCTTTCCTTTGAAAAGGAGCTCAAAGAAACCTCTGTGCCCAGATTACAGAGCTCTGAACAGAGACATCTATTTTCAACGCTTTAGTTCAAGGTCAATTCCTGAAGTAAGGGCTTTAGGGATTCCCTAGGACCCTCAACCCGAACCCCCAAAACCTTCAAGTTTCGCCCTACACCCGACCCTTCACAAGCCCTTATAGACTCCTGAACCGCAAGCCCTAAACCCTAAGTTTTTAGGGCCTTACCGACCCAGAGCCTGAAAGACGTTGAGGTGTTGGGCACCGAGGAAAGCAGCATCCAGCTGACACGAGGCGGCCTCTAAAGCCCTTTATTGTTCAGGCCCCAGAGTCATATTGACGTACCTTAGGTGCCGGGGCCATTTTGAAACAGTTCCCCTGTTAGAGTTCGTCAGGACCCCTATGTAATCTCCAGGGAGCAGCAGGTCGCCGAATGTAGGATGTTGGGTGTTCAGGGGGTTTTAAGCTGATTTCGGGTCCGAGGTCTCAGAGATACATGCTAGGTAGGCCTTTGGGACATGTTATAGTTTCCCTTGTTCGGCTTAGTAGGACCCTACTTACGAAGATTTTTCAGAGGCTTTAAAGGGCCAACCTAGCATGGGGTTCAGGTTCCAGCAGGCCGGGGACGGAAGCTTTGTTTATAACAAATGTCCCGAACCCAAACCCTAACTTCCTAAACCCCAAATAGAATACCTTTCGAAGGAACCCACTTGGGTAATCCGTTTTCCGTCAGTAATCGATGCTGACAAAAGGAGGACCTTGATAAGCGAATGGTTACGATGTCGCGGAAGAGACTGTGTTCAAAGGAGTCTTTCTGTTTACGAAGGTGCTTGGCTTCTGTGCTTAGTTTTAGTTGTCGATGCCCCTAAACCTTAAACCGTATAGAGAACCCATGGCTGCGTGTGATGGCCTGGCAGATCTGGCGCAAAGGGTTCTCCATCAATGACCTGTATATCTGGTTCCTAGCCCCTATAACCCTTGACACTGTAATCCTGAATATTGAGAATTCTACTCAGCTGCGAATCCTGATCCTCAAACCCTGAAAACCCCCAAAACCTCTAAACCCTAAACCTCTAAACCCTAAACCCTAAACCCTAAACCGTACCTTCAGCCTTTAAACTCTCAAGCCCGGGCCGGAGCCCTAAAACTGCTTCACGGCGCCGGCACGCTTGGATTCTCAGGTGCTTAGTCGTGTAAGCCCAAAACCTAAGTCACAATCTTTAAGGTTAGGCTTTGGGGAGAAGGAGAAGAGCCAGAAGCCTCACCCCTCGGCACCTCAATCCTCAGCCCCGAAAGGCCCAAAACACCTCAACCCTAACGCCAGCAAACCTGAACCTAAGCCCCAAACTTTTAACCCCAGAGCCCGCACACCCCTAAACCCGTAAACCTATCGCGGGCTTGGCATCCGTGGGGCAGGCTTCGTGCGGGAGCTTCGTGTGGCAGCTTGGCGGAACTGCGTACGTAGCCTAATACGACTTTCTAAGGTTTGGGTTGCTGCGCAGAGATATGCTTCACTTCTTTGTCTTTCGATGCCTCCGAATTTGTAAGTCCTATCCTTATGGAGAAGGATAGCATTGCGACTAAAGATACCATGATAATGAACGAGTAGGGCCAGTCAGCATAGGGCCAGTCAGCATCCCTACGGCATAAGAATCCCTGTTCTGTTCCAGGCGGCTCGCAACATTGTTCTCGCTTTTCGAGTTTATGGAGACCGACTACTCAAACAGAAGTATCCTTGACAGAGCCTCGGGTCATGGTATTCGTGGTAATGAACCTACCTGGCAGCAATATTACTACTACTCGCCAGCCAACACGAAAGCACCAGCAGTATCCGATTTTATCGCGTGTGTACCAATGACCAGCTCGTGTCAGATCATGATTTGGATGCTATGTTAAGAACACATGCCCCTCGTATTTGCGCGAACGTTCAAGTTGTAAATCCGGCTGGCAGAAAATATCTGGTATTGAAGTATTGAGACGATCCAAGTTCGACACGCACCTAAGCAGTGCATGCCAGCCGCCAACCAAGGTCTTGAATGCTGCGAGCTCCTAAAATCTTAAATTGGGTTTTAGGGTTTAGGGGTTTAGGGTTGAGGGTTAGTCCGATCCCTTTCTCTCTGAAACTAGAGCAAGAATGAAGTTTCTCAATGGGAGTTTGAGGGATTTCGGATTTAGGACGGTAGGGTCCAGGCCAAAGCAACCACTAACAGAAGTCTTCAATGCCGCTGTCTATCTTGGTGTGAGCATAGTTGGTTGAGTCATAGGGATGGCTTAGGGGATCATATTTTTTGTCAATGCCCGTCATGGAATCGACTGGTAGTCGAAGCCCTGCAGTGTGTGCGTCCTCGAGCACGAAACCCACATGTGTTTGGAGATTACAGCATCAAGGTTTCAGTCCCTGCACCTTGAATTTCCACCCTAGCCCAAACCTTGCAGCCCGGATTTTCACAGGTGGTCCCGTGGAATGCAATCCGCTCCCAATCCTTGCGGGTGGAGGCGCGGGTTCTTCGGGTCGGATGGATATTTGGTAGTCGAGTAGGTATATTTGTTGGTTTTTATGGGGGGTACTACAGTCTTCAAACCTTACTTAGAATCTCGAAGATTAACCTTGAATTTTTGTTAGTGAAACTGGACAAGCAAAGGTTAGACTGGGTGCTTGTTCGCTTGTTCAGAGCTTAGCTCACAAACTTCGCAATTTGAACAATATCCCCCGCATGATTCCCCAAACCTACCCTAAGGGTCCTAACAAATTGGGGAACCTCAAAATCGAGGGTTTCTGAGACCCCAAAGAGACCCAAGGACTCTCCCTAGGACATTCCGGACCCTCCTAAGGAGATACCTGGACCCTTAGGGTAAGCCAAATTGGCCCAGCGGTGCAGCAGTTGGCCTATTTCGATGCGGAGGTCCGATGCACTGTGCCAGCGGATATGCGCACTTGCCCCAGCCAGGATATTGACATTGCTCTCCAGGTCCAATTGGGAGTTACCGAAACTTAGGGGTACCTTATTTTGGGGTCCTTACTTGGAGGCCCTTTTGACTTAGTAAGTCTACTTAGTATCCCCTAGAAACCCCATTATAATCCCCATAACCCACCTTACTAACCCTACTTACTAAGTCAAAAGGGCCTCCAAGTAGGGTCCCCTATTTTCGGAAACTCCCAAGTGGCCCAGATGCTTTGGGCCGAACGGCTGAACTTCTTCGGAGCTGTGTCAGCGGGTACCCATACGCTCCATGGTAGTTCCTTTTGGGGATTACCGTTTAGGATTCTAAATATGAACCCCCAGAAGGAACTACTATGGAGCCAAAGGGTATGCACGCACAAGTACATGGTCGACAACGGAGCGGAAGCTGGCGAGAAGGACTTGGACATTGACAGGGCGCCTGGTGTTGCTGTGAATGTTATCTTCACGACGACTTGAGCTTAGTCCTGCTTAGGCCGTGGCGCGGTTCTTGTTTTGTTTGGGAGGATCCCAGTGCAAACATTCCGACGACCGTCTTACGTCAGTAGGGGCAGTTCGGGACTGGGAGGGAATCTATTCGCAGAAATTATGTTCACAGGTCTCGGGGTCAGAGCTGGTATTGAAAATCTGAACTGTTTCAAGGCTTCCGTACATCCTAAACCTGCGCCATGGAAGCTGCAAACCCAACACCCCAAGCAGTTGAAGGAACCTTGTTGTAAACCTTTAGCGTTCTGGTAACCCTTAAAGGAATTGTTATAGTCAGTAATCCTCAGCAGTTCAGATTTTCCTCGGCCCAGAAAGCTACCCGACCGAGATCCTGAGCACTCCGAGAGTCTGCACCTGAAGCCTTGCAAAGTGCGCCTTCGGAGCCGCTTGGAACCCAGACCTTCCAAAATCCCTTAATTAAGGAATATACCTTAATTCATATTAGGGATCCTACTATAATTTAAGGTATATTCCTTAATTAAGGGATTTTGGAAGGTCTGGGAACCCTACACTGTTCAGGGTCTAGGGTTTACGCCCTGCTTCCCTACATCCGTCATCCGTAAACCCGAACCGACTACGGTTTGGCCAACAGACAGCCAGGTAGATGCCGTGGAAATCATCTTCGGTAGCTGCAGCGGAGGACCGGCGGGTTCTACAGCGTTGCCTTGTGGCAGAAGTATTCAGGCTATGTGTACGCAAGGAATCAGCCAGACAAGCTGATCTTTGTCGTGTTAGCGCAGTGTTGGGCTAGCGGGATTTAGAGACTCTGCAAAAACTTCATCACGAAGTAGCTTCGAATTTAATGATTTATTTGTCCGTAGTACTTAGTATTAGCCGCCCTCGCTACTGTTGTGGCCCTTATTCTTGCCGTCAACCTATCAAGTACTGTGTTGTTGGATGTTGTTGGTGTTGCTACAGGTTTTACAGTTATGGTGTTTGCTACTTCTGCTTGTGGAAGCACCAGCCATTGTTTTCAAGGCACGCTCCAGTACTGTCACTACGCTCGAACTCGGCTAAATGTTGCTGTCAATCGTTCCTACTATCCAGGACGATGTGATTTCATTTCTTACGAGTCCCTGCTATGACCCTTGTCAGGCTTACTTCTAGGTACAATACAATATCGGCTTTACGCAAAGCTGAAGCCAGTGCACTACACATACTCTATTTTCAGAATCATCGCAAGTAGTAGATATTCAGAAGGGGCACGGTTGCTGCAGTTGTCATTTAGCGCATAGATGCTCTTACACTGCCAGGCACTTGCTGGCAATCGTCCTATCCAGCTCACGAAACACAGAACAACTTCTAAACAAGTCTTTCAAAACTACTTTGTCAAAATCGCTTCTTAGCCTCAAGTCTAAAACCCTATGCTGCCTATAACCCTATAGTTATAGCCCTAAAGCCCTATACCCCTATGTACCATGAGCTGGCACTTTCTCTCTGCCTTGTCTTGCAGGGCAGCCGACTGCTCCGCCGGCGGCATCGCCGGTGGCACCTGCCAAGGCGAGGGTGTTCCCATGTGTTCCTTAACTTAACTGTTTGCTGTTGTTGTTCTGACTGAGTACTATTATAATTATTAGTTTTCTTCTTCTTGTTATTACGAGTAACTACAGCTATCTTATTCTATAACCCTACTAATCGCGTCCCCTAATCCTCTAAGTAACTTGACTACATATCGCTTAATTATTAAGGGGTATTGGAAGGTCTAATTAAGGAAGATACCTCAAGTCATATTAGGGATCCTACTATGAGTTAGCGAGTATTCCTTTTGTTGGAAGGTCTGAGTTGGTCTCCCAGTGGGTTCTTATCCCTTTTTGTAGTTTTTGGTTCGTTCTAAGACTACCCTGTATCATGGTGGGTCACCTAAACAAGTTTTGGCAGCCTTGTCTGAGCCCCATTCGAGGTCATCTGAGTTACACTGTCAGCACCATTGAGAAACGGGGCACATCAGGGGAAGCCATACGGTCTCGGGTTTACAAGCATATGTCGAGAAACATGTTACATCTTACCTTGAGTTTACAATCATACAGACAGAGAGACACATAGACCTTGACAGTCTTTATGGTAGAAGCCGAAGCCTCTCAAGATCTGATAATTAATTAACTGAGCCCCACCTAAAACGCGTACCAAGTCTGGAACCCTCCGACACACTATTTTGAAGCACCACAAACCCTCAACCTTGTCATCGTACATCTGAGCCTGGAGCCCTGAACCTTTAGCCTACCCAGGGGCTCCATGGTGGTTCCTTTTTGGGATTACTTTATAGGATTCTAAATATGAACCCCAAAAAAGGAACTACTATGGAGCCTAGGGGTAAAGCCTGAATTTCTTTGACCACTGCGCCTCAAAATACGCCATACCGCAACATCTAAATGCTAGCCGGTCCTTCGCTGCTGTCAAAAGATGTAGGGCCCTAGGAACCCTACGTGATTTTTGTTCAGGCCCCAGGCCCCAAACCCCAGAACCAAGAACCCAATCCTCCTTGTAAGCTTGCTGAACTCCTTCAGCTGCCTCAACCCCTGCACCTGAAAGCCCTGAGCCCCTGACGCTAACTTCCCTAAACAACAGCAAACAGCCACAACATACCTCCTATCTAGCCCTAATAGCAACAAAAACCCAGCATCATTCTAATTTTGAGGAAAATCAAAACCTCAAAGCCCTTTCCTGGGCTTTGGAGTGCCGTACTTTAACAATATTTCCCTGAGGGAACCATTATGAAATAAAAGTTTATACTTTTTCTCCCTGGTTACTTAAAGGCCCAGTTTCTTATTTTGACAAAGTCGGCCAGGAGAGCTCTCAAGATGCATTGGACGAGTCGCAGGAGAGCTCGCTTGGCTTTCGGGGGCTTCGACGGTAGACTTTAGGGCTTACCTGTAGTCTCCATTGTAGTTCCCTTTTTGGGTTTAACCAGTTATATATTAAGGATCCTATAAGGTGATCCCCAAAAAGGAAAACAATGGAGACTATAGGTACAGCTTAGGCCTGGGGGCCTATGGGCTCGGGGGCTTGGAGTCTAGGGCTTACTTGGAGGATCATGGGACTTAGTCAGCGCGGTTATAAGTAAGGTAACTATGCATATAAGTACTTATAACCCCAATTAAGGCAGTTATAACCCGACTTACTAAGTGCCATGATCCTCCAAGTAGGGTTCAGGGCTTATGTGGTTAGGGTTCAGAGTTAGGGTCTGGGTTGTTGGCTTTTCTGCCGGGACTTACAGGGCTTCGGTTCAGTTCTCTGGCGTGTTTTAGGGTTTTGCTTGTGGTGCATTTGTGGCTTTGATAGGTTGGGACATCGTTTTACCAGGATCTAAGGGTGAAAAAAACATGGTTTGCATGAGTGCTGGAGTGGAGTGGTTGAAAGGGGTTGGCGGTAGTCTTGTGTAAGGAATCTAGAAATTCCCAGCGCTTGGAGTAGGTGCTGTGCCTTAGATTGTGCTGAGTTCGACCGGCTTCGGTTCAGAACGAGATGTGGCACATTCTCCATTTCAGGGTTTGTGTGGCTTGAGGCGTTAGGATGGGTTTCCTGTCCCTAAACCCTAAACCCTAAACCGTGTTTGCTGTTGAGACCGAGTCTTTGTCTGACAGATAATCGTTGTTTTACCTTTGGCAGGTGGTCGCTACCAACATCTTCAGATGGCGACTTGCAGTGCTTCCGCTGATGGACAAAATCCTGCCATAACAAGATCCCATGGTTCAGTAGTTCAGTGTATTTCCGCAAATGCAGGATGCTGTCCACGAGCAGTCTTGCAAACCCTGCTACTGCTTCCATCATCGTCACTTTCAACAACTTCATGGCGTGACATCAGGGAGTGAAGCGATCTCCCCAGCCTCTAGACTCTAGCCTATCGAACAAATGTCCATGACGAGCAACAATAGGAACAATGCAGGTACTAGAAATTTGTGGTACATGCAGGAGGAGTTGCACATCCAATACGTGCTGAATGGTATGGAGTGAGTGCTGTCGTTTACACGACCAGCTCAGGTAAGGCAGATTACAACTGCCTAATGCCTCGAAACGTAAAGCCGGGGACATGGAGTCCCCCATGCAAACCCTAAAGCGTAGACACATTACGTGGTGCTTGTACAAGGAGACGTGGCTCCAGCCGCTCTTGCGAAACATTTTTGGCAACGTCACGGTATCCATTGCCGCTTGACACATCACTGGTCTCGGGCAGGGGCCACTTCTAGCAACAGTTGAAAAAGCCAAGCTCACCGTCCACGTACAAAGAAGCCCCATGTGACAATGTTTTACATGTGTTGACAAACATCGTTTGAGCCTAGTAAGAAACCTAGCTGAAGTGCAGGAGTAGTCTTCAACCTATGCAGCAGCACCATATTGTCCCTAGATATTGCTTGGACGCGTGAATACTGCGAAGGCAAGAACCTGTAGTTTCTATTCAGGGGCTTGCGGAGTTCTTGGGTGGTTCTATAAAGCTTTTAATCGCTGCCCTCACATTAAACCGCCCCCCGCCCCCCGAATATAGGAACCCCCGGTCGCGGTTTCGGGCCCACAATTGAAAGTTCATGAAAACTTAGCGGCGGCCTGGGATTGTAATAGTTTTACAGCCGCGACGACTGCGTAGGAAGCGGTCGTTCTTTGCTTGCCTGACTGTCTGGGTCAATAATGAGTTACTGCCAACCGACTCATACCCGGATGCCCCGAAACTCCCTCCTAATATGAAAACTGAATCCCCGAAACCAAGTTTAATACGGGGGGGGACTCTTTACTATTAGGGGGCAGGGATTACAAGGTTAGAGATGGTTGGAGGCCGTGACTTGCAGCCATAGCACGTGAAGCAGAACTGTAACACAGAGCCCTACTATGCAAACCTACATAGGTGGTTGTCAAAAGAATGGTCCCTTAGCTGGGTTCTGAAAATAGTATGGCAGCTAATCGTTAAGGTACCGAAAAAGGGATTATAGTTTTGACAACTAGCCACATGCGTTTTTTCGAGGATAACCTCGTCGCCAAGCTGGAGCGCAATGGTGCAGTGGCGTGTGTGAGACTTGGCTGGACGAGTCGGCATCCACGAATCGATGGGAGGTCTTTGTTCCGGAGGTTTCCTAAACCAATAAAGAACCTGTCTTTTTGGGGTTCCTTATTATGATTTCCTGATATAGGTCCTTAAAAAGGTAGATTATTTGGGGTCAGGTAAACCCTAAGACACAGGACTCGATCATGGATCTTTTAGAAAGAACTGGGCCATTCTCGGGGTTGGTTGTGTCGATAAGGTTTTCAGTTTAGGGGCTAGGGTTTTTAGGCTTGATGATCTAGGGTTTAGTTTAGGGCGCATGGTGTAGAGTCCGATGAACAGGCATGAGGCCAATCGATTCGCCACCACTGCGGTGGGGTCTTAAAGGTCACAGGCCAATACAGACTCGAACTAAGCAAAAGACTTCACACACACAGGCAGCGCATCTATCAGCTTATCACAGGTACCTGCTTTTTTCGCGTGTAAATGCGCAAGCAAATTTTCTATGGGTGGGCTATGGCGCGTGAGCATGCCTTGTTTCTCTCTCTTTTGTTTTTGTTTTGTCTCTCTCTCTCTCTCTCTGTATGAAAATGTGTGTCTGTGTGTGTATGTGCGGGGTCTGTCGTGTGATTGTTTACACAGATGAAGGAACATGCTTGTGCTGTATCTGTGTAACAATATACGCATGTTTGCATGTAGGTATGTGCATGTAAGTTGCATCTACTCCTAAATCTGCACGGTACATGTGCAGATACCATGGACCATGAGTTCCTGTGCAGGTACAAGTACAAAACTGTGTTTATGCATGCATGCTTCGAGACTATCTGTCTATTTGTCCGATTGTCTGCATACTCTCAGAATACTGCTGTTTCAGCTTCAAGACCACAAGCCCTGACTACACTGTGCTTGCACTAGACCCTAAACCCTGAACCCCTAAACCCTAAACTCTTATAAACCCTCAACACTAAACCCCGAAACCCTCAACCCTGAACAACAACGCATCTCCGTGTTTTGGAGATCCTCCGGTCCGAGGACCGTCGAACGACTGGACTCCCGCCCGCACTCGGCCACGTGGGAGGTGCCGCACTCTGCAGACTTCAGGTAGCCTGAACCCCACCACCTCTAAATGACCAACCTTCTGAAGGTTCCTTAGTATGATTTCCTAAATTGAGTCTTTTAGGGTCCAAGTATGTAACCCAAAATCCTAAGGTCCTAAAACCCGTTATCTCCAAACCCTAGACGACTGACCCCTAAACCCCTGACCTCTGTACCCCTTAATGCTCTTGGTTGGTCCCCAGTGTCCTTGTAGCTTTATAGTGCATATACATATTTGCACATATACATATACATATTTGGACATACACATATGAAGAGAGAGAGAGAGAGAGAGAGAGAGAGAGAGAGAGAGAGCTCGGTGTATAGATACTATATATAATATGTATGCATACATACATGCATACGCACAATACTGGTTTTTGTTTAAGCCTGGAGTCTAGGCTAAAGGGCATCCTACATGGCGGCATCAGGGCCAAGGTATATGGGCACATGGACCCTTAAACCCTAAACCCTAAACCCTAAACCCTAAACCCTAAACCCTAAACCCTAAACCCTAAACCCTACTTGTTTGACTCAACCCGAAGTTGTTTGTTTCCTCCAGCTGTTCAACTGCCTGCTGGTTTTGATCTCGGCAGGTGGGGACGTTTGTTTAGTCATGTTGTCTGCACCCTTTTGAGGAGCTGTTGCTTACCCTTTTGAGGATTGTTGCCTCGCTCCAGAGTTTCGTGGCAGACTATGACAGCCTTCTGAGTCAACAGCCTGGACCTTAAACCCTCAGCCCTAAACCCTTCTAGGACCTTAACGACCTGCTCAGATTTCCTGCAGTCGCAGTAAGTACCCCAAACCCTGAAACCCAAAACTCACTATTTAGTTCCCCAGCTGGAGAAGTACGTCAGGTATTCGCAGTCAGCATTGAACATCAAAGCGCCCTGGCCCACAACCCATTGCAGTGAAATTTTGGACCTGCTGGGGTGGAGTGTTCCCAGACCTTCCAAAACCCCTTAATTAAGGAATATACCTGAAAGGATTTTGGAAGGTCTGGGTTTCGCTCACTCAAGGAGTTTAGGATTTAGGGTTGCGAAACAACTGCTTGAGGGTGCTTGGCACATTGGCAAGTCTTCATGACCGCAGCGGGTGTATCCAAATGCGGGAAGATCAACGCCCGCCACTGCCGCCTCCAGAACGGTTCCAAGTCCAATGCCACCTGTTGGAGCCCAAGCCGTCGGTGGTTTGCTTGAACGAGCTGGAGCAGGATCACATCATACTTCGCCGACAAGTTAGAACAGATGATGAGGTCCAGGGATTTGTTGGGATGTCTGGCATCCGACGAGGAGATCTTGCCCGCTTTGCATTGATTTGGTGCATTGATATATGGGAGCTTCCGAAAATGGGGGACCCTAACATAGTACCCTGAATAGTAGGATCCTTATTAAAAGGACCCCAAAATATGGTACCCCTATTTTCGGAAACTCCCATATAAAGGGATCTGACTCGATCCTGTCCTGATTGCCGCCTGTGTCATGTGTTATCCTGTTTGATATCTGGGCCACGGCCTCCAGATTCTACATGCCTTGGGGGTCCCCTAGGTATATACCCTTAAAATGGCTATTATATACCCATTATATAGCCCCATTATAGGGTAGGGGTCCCCATTAAGGGTCCCTCTTTTTCCCCTTTGAGTGTCGCAGCTTGGTTGCCCATGCTTGGTGGCAGATGGCAGCTTTGCAAAATTTCCTGCCATGGAGACTCGTCGCGGCACTGGCTCCTAAAACCCCGTCTCTAAAGCCAAACCCTAAACCCCTGAACCCCAAATCCGAAACCCTTAAACCCCTAATTCTAAGCCCCTAGCCCTACCTGACCCCTAAAACCCTAAACTGAACCCCAAATCCGAAACCCCTACACCCCTAAACCTAAGCCCCTAAACCCCTAAAACCCTAAACTGAACCCCAAATCCGAAACCCCTACACCCCTAAACCTAAGCCCCTAAACCCCTAAACCCTAAACTGAACCCCAAATCCGAAACCCCTACACCCCTAAACCTAAGCCCCTAAACCCCTAAACCCTAAACTGAACCCCAAATCCGAAACCCCTACACCCCTAAACCTAAGCCCCTAAACCCCTAAACACCCCCAAGCTGCGACACGAGGCCGGCTTCACCCCGCTTCCGAGCCTCCAGCCGACGCTCTTCCGAGTGGTGTCTGCGCGCGCGGGGCTTGGGAGCAAATAGGGTTCCTGTTAAAAGGTTCTTGAAAAGGGATTTGTAAGCGTTACTATAAGAGAGGTTGTGCAAGGGTATATATACATATAGATATAGATATAACGGCCTTTTGGATAATAAGGATAGGATCCCATAAGGGCTACTATTAGGGATCGATGAGGGTATTACTATAATAATAATCATAAGGAACCCTCCAAAATAGTATAGGTGATTATGTAGGCCCCTGTAGTAGGGCTTGGGGGTTTAGTGTTCAGGGGTTTAGGGGTTTAGAGTATTAGGGGTGTAGGGTTTCGGGGGTGTCGGGATTTGTGGGGTTTAGGGTTCAGGGGTTTGGGGTTGAGGGTTATTAGCGTTTTCGGGGCTGAAGGGCTTACAGGGGGGCGTTTTACATACATAACAAATACATACATATGCATGTATACTTGTCATTGAACCAAAGGGGTCTTGTTGTTTGCGGCTTTGGAGGCTTAGGGGCAAACGGCCGGGCAAAACCGCAAGCTACACCCAGACCCCTCAATCGTAGTTCATGTTCATTGGTTTGCTTGTTTTCTTATGAGGGAGTCACCAGAAGGAACTACATCATGTGCGGTACGCCATGAACGCAAAAGCTGCATGCTGCAAGTGAATCCCATTGAAGCTCATCGGCAGAAGGTTCAGAGCTCGGAGTGAACCCTAAATTTTATGCTACAAACTGCAACTGGAATCTTTCGATACCACCCACTCGGCATCATGGGACTAAGCAAGAGAGTTTTCAGCAAGCTGTTAAGGCTTCAGCTGATAAGTAACATTATAATGCAGGGGCACAAATAACTACCTATACTGTTTTGGGGTTCCTTACTATAGTTATAGTATCACGGGCTGCAAAACCCTATTCTAATGATTAAGGCCCGTACAGTACCATGGCCCTAGGGTGATGAAGTCTGACTTTACAGAGGTCACTTACTAAGTTAACTCTTGTCCTGATATCCGATGTGAACATAAACCTAACTAGGTAGGCCTTTGGGACATTTTATATTTGCCCTTATTAAGCTTAATAGGATCCTATTTACGAATATTTTTCAGAGGCTTTGAAGGGCCAACCTAGCTAAAATCCGAACCCGATACCGAATCCCCAAACTGCTTGAAGGCTGAAGAATTTCTCTTCCCGGCTGCTCAGGCGACGTGACTGTCACGCTGGATCACCTCCAACAGGCTGTGGCGCGTAAGTTTTGCTTCAAGGATCTATCGGGGTCCCGAACATATGTAGAATGATATGATGTCGTGGGTGTTGGGCCACATTTTACCTACTTTTGGGTACTGACGGGTTCAATCGTGGATGCCTTTGCGGCACCTTCTTGAGTCGGGTATTGGTTTATAGGAGTCTGGGTCGAAAAGCTGCAGCAACTGTAGCCGAGGTTTAGGGTTTGAGCGACTACTATAGCATCTTGCATAACAGTTATCACCGTGACCGTCAGCCTGACCGATCGCATGCCAGCAATGTTCATTTGGGACCCCAAAAAGGATATAATAAGCACAGTATTATGGGCCCCGCAGCCTATTCTAGTGATTCAAGCCCCTTGTTATCTATCCAAGTGCTGCAAAGCCGCAATGTACACTATTCGAGCTTATGAGATGCTACGGACAACTAAAGAAATGGTCTCTCTCTCTCTCTCTCTCTCTCTCTCTCTCTCTCTCTCCCTCTATAGCAGGTGTGAGTACGCGGTTTCTCTCTGTCTTACGTGTGTAAACATATGTGTATATATATATGCACAATAAGTTCCATGGTATCATATACCTGTGTATGTGTAGGTATCTACATACACAGATACACACACATATATGTATATGTATATATATATATATATGTATATTATATATGTATAAAAATACACATATAGATATACAGATAGTGAAATAGGGCCTCTAACCACTACTGGATATCAATCCTGGCACATGGGCTTGGGCAAGGCCCCAACCGACCGCAGGGGGCGGCGCGCGAAGCACCACAAGGTGCTCGGTTTCTATCGGGCTCATTTTGGTTGGCTTTGAATATATTTATACAGTGTATGAAATCCCGAGGCATCATGGGCACTAGTCACTATTACTTGCCTTCGTTATCGGCCCGAGGAGGCGGTGGATTTCAGGTCTGGGTCTGTAAGCAGGCTTTGGGATGGGGGACTTCCCCATAGGCTCCATGTACCTTTATAGTAGATACTTAAGCCTTACAGGGATCCCTATATAGGTACCTTATAGGCCGAAGATGGCCGAAGTATATACTATATGGGTACATGCTGCCTTAGGGTTCGGGTGTCGCGGCTCAGGACCTAGCGTTGAAGCTGCGGATTTTGCGTCCGTGTCCTTCAGACCTATCTTCAACAAAACTCAAAAGAGCTCTATGTTAAGGCTCTAAACCCTAAACCCTAGACCCCTAAACCCTAAACCCTAAACCAAACCCTAAACCCTAAACCCTAAACCCTAAACCAAACCCTAAACCCTAAACCGAGTTAGAGGTAATAGGGACAACAACCCTCGCAGGGCCATGTCCGTTCTGATCCGTTTCGCACGGAGTGCAACAGGTGGAGGGTGTGCCTCCCTCATACTTGGAGGCCCTGTCGACTCAGTATGTCTACTTAGTATCCCCCAGAAACCCTATTATAATCCCCATAACCCACCTTACTAACCCTACTTACTAAGTCAAAAGGGCCTCCAAGTAATACTCACATGGGTGGTTGTCAAAATTATGGTCCCTTTTTGGGTCCCTAATATAGTACGGCACCTAATATCAAGGGTACCCAATAAGGGACCGTAATTTTGACAGCCGGACACATGGCCGAACTAGCCTCGCTCCACGGTATATGTCGCTTATAGGGTAGACTACTGCGCTGCACCAGCAGTACTTACATCGCTGTTCAGGGGAGAAGACTCGGAAGACTTAGTTGGGAACAAGCAACAAAGCTAACACCACTCAAGGGTTTGGGGTTTAAGTCCTAGGTTCTTGCGTTTCAAGGGTTACTGTAGGTCTTAGGGTTTCGGGGTATAGGTTTAGCAACACACCAAAGCCTAAACTCAAGCTTCCTTTTTGTGCAGGCCCTGGGGCGGGCTTTGCGGCAGGCGGGGCAGCAGGGACTTCCGCAGAAATGCGCGGTGTTGTAGATCGTGTTTCTCGTTTCTTTTTTTCGACCTTAACCCAAGACCCTGTGGTCAACCGATAGCTAGCTCCATTGAAAGACCTCGTCATTCGTTGAAACCGGACTTCTGGAGACCTCCACATCTTATTGGAAATGGAGTGTACTGTAAGGGTCATGGGTAGCGATGACGATGGTTATGGTGGGATTAAGTTGTCATGAATGTTGAGATATACTTCCTCATACTCGCAGGTGGTTTGGTGGTTGACGATGCCAAATATTTTTGCCAGAGTTCCCGCTGGCTGCTAGCTGCTTTTTCGCAAGGAGCATATGCTCGTCTCTATCGGTGTCCACACGGGGGTGTAGTGCTTTCTATGGCAGCGTGACCATGAGAATCCTTTTATATTATAGCGACCTGCCCTAGACATGGTCATACTAACTCCTCCACCCTAAGAGTCGTAGGCCCATATCACGCCGTGACGGATCTTTCCAGGTGGCCCTGCCAATCCTCCATCGGGTTTCGGCGGAGGCCAGCAACAAAGACTTTTCCCCTAGGATCTTGGGTTTAGGGTTTAGGGTTTAGGGTTTAGGGTTTAGGGTTTAGGGTTTAGGGTGGATCTTACATAGTCCGCATCCTATTGCATTGGCGATTCGGAAGGGCTTCCCGGTTCCGCCAAAGGCAGGGCTCTTGAGGCAGAACTACGCGTCGCGATATCGGGTTTTTTTCTATAAATTGCAGGTATGTAAATCCCGAGCCTAACCCTAAACCTTAAAGCTCAAGACCCGACACTCCCCCGAGAGTATGTGAAGGAGGTGTAGTTCGCTCTTCCTTCTACCGGCATACCCTAAAGGCCCTAAACCCTCAACCCTAAACTCCTAAAACCCTAAACCAAAAGCCCTGTGTGTTCGGAGCTGGGCCTGAGCAGCGAGGATTAGAATCCCTTTCAACCCTCCATGACAGGGTGTCAGACTCCCCGAACCCTATGCTCCTCACATAGACCACCCTGGAGCTGCTAATTCTGGCCAAATCATGTGTTTTGTATGTGTCCTGTTGTAAATCTTGTCAAGATAGCTCATGTGTCCCACTCGCAGGTGCATTCCTACGGTGCCAACATAGCCTTAAGCAGGTTTCTGAAACACTTTTCCCAGCTGAAGGCCTGAAAACTAGTCCATAACCCTGTCATCCTGACACCTAAACCCGTAGAAAGTCTGGAAAATCAGTCCATGACCCCGGCCAAACCCTCCTGATAAATAAACCCGTAGAAAGTTGTAAGACGCCCACAACCCCTGCTTGTCGGGTATCATGGCGAACTAAAGGTTAACCTTTTCGGTGTATAGGGATTATATAGGGACTATATATACTACCCAAGACAGGCTTAAGTTTGCTTTCTCTACGTAAAGCCACATGAAGAGCCTTGTTCAGCTCCGGCTTTTTCCATCTCAGACAGGGGCCTCGCAGTTGAATCTGCAGTGATGGGGCATAAACATGGGCTACTATCGGGGCCTCCTGAATAATTACCTATGCTACTGCGTCTTAGGGGTTCCGTTGTGTATTTATTGCAAAATGGACACCAAAACCCTGTTCTAGTTATTAGGGCCCCTTTGTATTATGGTCTTGCGAGCAACGTGGCTACGAGGCACCTACAGACCCAAGTAGTACCCACTCTGTGCTTCCCAGCTCACCCTATACCCTAAAGCATTCCATATCAGGGTTTATAGTAAGAACCTACAAAAAAGTAGGGTTTGGTAGTTTAAGGTATACCCTAAATCCGAAACCTCTTCCTGCCAGGTCCTGCTGGAGTGGCCGTGGCTTCCTTGGCCCCAGCCTGTGGCGCACTTGGAGCAATCGCACTGGCTAACCGTTGATAGGGTTTAGGGTTTAGGGTTTAGGGGACTTAGATCCCCAATACCTAACCTTTAAACTTTTTGGGTTCTTATAGTTTAGTAGGAAGCTAACCTTTTTTTCTGTGGCTTGTAGGGGGAGCTAAGGAGCCAGGGATGATGATAATCCCTATTAAATAAGGATCTAAAGAGCCAAGAGAACCCCCAAAACCACTGGTTAGGTGGGGCTTTCCAAAGCGCGGATAGGGTGTTGTAGGTTCGTTGATTTTCTTGGGCTTTGCTACGGCTTTTTAGGGTTTCTATAGGTTTGGTCGGGATATGTTCTGAATGTGTGACTTGATAGGATGTGAAACCTTGAACGAGGGGCCCCCTTGTGAAATCTCTTGCAATCAGGGTCCTGCCGCTTAGTGCCACAGTTCGCGCCCCAGACTCCCCTGCTCCAGTTAGATGTTCATGCCGGTATCCTTATTGCAACAGGTTAGGGGTTAGGGTTCAGGGCGAGTACGCCTTCAGTATCTACATATGCTCTTTTGGAAGTCTCGATAAGTCCCCTGATCCTTCTTGAACTCCTGAAACCGCGTATTTCCCGAACTCCAGGGAGATCGCTCCTTCAGCCCCTTAACTCCCTAAAACGCTATATTCAACCTAAACATCTCTTACCTAAGCCCTATAACCTATGCCCTACAAAGCCTTAAAGTCCCAAACTCAAGCTTCTGTTTCAGGCTCCCTTGCCACCGACAGGGCGAGTCGGCTTCTACCTTAGTCCGGTCCCCAGCGCCCCGTTTTGCAGGCCCCATAGCGGATCTGTAAGGGAACCTTTAGGGGATTTTTGAAGGATTCCTTCAAGGGTTCGTATAAGGCTATTCTAGTGTTCTAGAACAGGGTTCCCATACGTGGTCCTGTAATAGGGTTCCCTCTGAGGGTACTTCATTGGGGTTCCCGTAATCTTCATACTAGGTGGTTGTTGCCATTGTAACAATTGTAGGGCTTAGAGTTCATGGCTTTAGGGCTTAGTGTTTTAAATGGAGGACGGCCTGCCAGCCTTACGTAGACTGTAAAGCACCCTAACCCCGACACCTTACAGTAAGTCCTGAAACCCTAACCCCCTAAGTCTGAAATCCTGAGCACTCAAAGAGCACCGAGGTCCGGTCCGTGCGCGGCTGGCCGGGGACCAGGCCACCGTAGGATGAGCGAGGGGTCAGTTTCTAGGTAGTATTGGAGAGGGTCTATATCCCCAAAGGTCCCCCTAATCCTAACTCCTATATCCCCAAAGGTCCCCCCTAATCCTAACTCCTATATCCCCAAAGGTCCACCCTAATCCTAACTCCTATATCCCCAAAGGTCCCCCCTAATCCTAACTCCTATATCCCCAAAGGTCCCCCCTAATCCTAACTCCTATATCCCCAAAGGTCCCCCCTAATCCTAACTCCTATATCCCCAAAGGTCCCCCCTAATCCTAACTCCTATATCCCCAAAGGTCCCCCCTAATCCTAACTCCTATATCCCCAAAGGTCCCCCCTAATCCTAACTCCTATATCCCCAAAGGTCCCCCCTAATCCTAACTCCTATATCCCCAAAGGTCCCCCCTAATCCTAACTCCTATATCCCCAAAGGTCCCCCCTAATCCTAACTCCTATGTCCCCAAAGGTCCCCCCTAATCCTAACTCCTATATCCCCAAAGGTCCCCCCTAATCCAAACTCCTATTAATGTAGGGGCCTTGGTGGTTTAGGATGCGAGGCACCCCGCCGTCACATTGGAGCAAAGGTTTCAGGCTTTCGGATGTGGGGTTATATACTGGGCTTTGGAGTACCGTGCTTTAATACTTTTTTCCTAAGGGAACCATTATGAAATACAAGTTTATACTTTTTCTCCCTGGTTACTTAAAGGCCCAGTATAGGATTTAATAGGGCTTGGGTTTTAGGGCTGGGGCTAGGCAAGATATCGGAGTCCTTGTTAGGAGTTCGGCTCTTTGAGTCCTCGAGGGATTTTCGGCTATGGGCAAGACGTATAGGCCTCAAAGGACGAGCAATAACAGGGCGCGCCATCAACACCACCCAGGTGCCCTTTAATAGAATCTTAGGCCCCGAAGATTCTGTAATTGTGGGTATTTAGGACAGAAAGGAATCTTGAACCCTAAGAGACCCACCTTAAACTCGGCAGCTCGCACCGGGCTTGGTCAAAAGCTCTCCGAGCAGATGGAGAGTAGGATGCTATCCTCTTTACGACCCGGATCCGTTTTGGGGTTGTAATGGTAGTCTCTCTTGTTGCTGGCAAGTATGTGCAGCACCCGGATATTGCCTGGCTCGACGGAGGCTCTTCCACAACTTGCACAATTCTCTTGGTTGGCTTGCTTGTCAGATCCCTTGGACCAATCAAGGCCTCTGATGGGGAGATTATCGTGACTTCTCGAAAGCATAGTCCTTGGGGTGGTTCCCGACCGAGGTCATGGGCCCGGCAGACCGTTATGCCGCGGGCTGTTTCCTCTTCTGCGTCTTCCCTCGTGGCAGACACTCCGATATGCAAGGGACCACGGATTTGCTGCGGGACATAGATCAGGGCGGTGATGGCCCCCGAGGCTATTTGGAGACAAAGGTGACTCGTACAAAGACAAACTACAATCTTGAAAGGAAGTCTCGTTACCTGGCGATGGTGTGTCCTGTTTGGGGATTGGAGGCAGATTTCTTGAGGCTTCCCCACGCCCAGATATGACTCCCTAGTTCATAGGGGTCTGGGTCTGAATGAAAAATGTAGCAACAGTACCAGACTATCATGCTACAGCTACACCCGGAATCCGTATAATTCCCTATACGCAGGAAGGGTCCATGTACCCATGTAATAACACGGTGGCCTTTAAGTACCTACAAAGGGACTGCTTTAGGGCCAAAGTATATACTATGTGGGTACATGAACCTTCAGGGATATAAATGCTATTCCTTCCTGTTGCTTGTAGATCTATACGATAATTATGCCGCAGCCTTTGGCTAATTATAAACGCCCCCTTAATTACATCCGGGGGGACCTGTACTTGCATGAAAAAAACCCTAAACCTCAAACCACGGATCACACGGCAGGTTCAGATCTTGGCACAGCTGCTGAGCCCCGAGGTGCTGGAGATGCAACAGTATGTGTAGGGTTTAGGATTATGATGGTGCTGTGGTGGTGCTTATGACTAGTAGTGGTATGAGTAGCATTATCAGATATAAGTATTGCTTTTTCACACTGTTACTACGAACGTTATTACGAACGATGTTATTATCACGTTTACTTCCTTTAGAGCTGTTCCTGAACACTTTTCATGATGATGCTGATGATGGTGATGAAAACATTATCACTGATGTGCAAAATTACATGTCATGATGGTTTGTTTAGGCAATGTATATACGTCTTTACAGGTTCGTATTATTGTGAAACGGTTCATTGAACCCAGGGGCCAGGCGGCCCAGGTTTTTTGTTATGGATCCATCTACCTGATGTGTAGTTTTCTATCTTGGAGGTTCCTTTACATTTCTTGACGAAACCTTAAACCACGTTGTTAGCGATTCGTGTTCTTATTGGGGCTTGTGGTTTTGAGATTTGGAGTTTTGCGTTCCGAAGGTTTTCTTCGAACCTGGCCGACAACAGCTGAGGAGACTAGTCATCAGTCTTGGTGCAGCAATGCCGGACACATCCGCTGCCAAGAAGGTGTGTATTGAAAAGGTTTGTTGTAGCCCTTTGCATCTGTATATGCCAGTATTCGTAGTTCACGTGACTTCTTTATGCCAGCTTCATGTACATACTGTACTGGCTTATTCATGTACGACAGTTTTCGGGGATTGTACGGGTGGCTTGGAGTTCTGCGTGGGTTTAGGTTTTCGTTTTGCATGTGTGCTGTTTGAAACTCCTGTGGTGGTTCGGTGCGGGTGTCTGTCGGGTTTGTCATGCCACGGCCGCCTGTTGCGACTGGCTGGAACTACTGTTGATGATATAAATCCTGCATTACCCATAATAAGGAATATGCCTTTATCCCCATAGTTTAGGGTCTTTTAGGTAATGCAGATATATACCATCAACCGTAACATTGCCATCAAGACCGTGACGACCGTCACGAGTGCTAGGCTAGTACTACGGCTGCCGCTGTTGCTGTTGCTACTTGTCCACAAGCTGCTGCAATTCTGGTACACCTCCTACTGCCACTGCTACTGCTGCTGCTCCTCCTCCTCCTACTACTACGACGACTACTACTACTCCTCCTCCTCCTGCTGCTGCTGCTGCTGCCACTACCACTACCTGCAAGTCCATCGCTACTGTCAGCGCCATAACAACTCAACCTTACTGGGCTTTTCAAAGCGCAAACCTAAGACGTATACAATCCTATGTTCTAAAGCCCAGACGCGTCAGTCCAAAGCGCAGAGACGCGAAAATCAACGTAAATAGTTACACTCAAAAGCACTCCACCTCACTCCTAAACCCTAAACCCCAAACCCAAGAGGCATTCAACTTGCATACCTAAACCTTAAATCCTGAGTTCCAGGCACCTAAAAAAAGCAAAGACGTCCCCAGGTGCCCGTGAGGCCCGGCTCCGGGGGATGGTCCGAGGGTGAGGCGCGCCGCTTCGCCACTCCAAGGCTTACTGTAACCCTAGGGAACTATAAGGACCAAAACCCTTCCTTTAAAGGGGTCCTAAAAGGGATCTATAGGGGTTCCTTAAAGGGATCTATAGGGTTTAGGGTTTCTTACTTGGAGGCCCTTTTGACTTAGTAAGTAGGGTTAGTAAGGTGGGTTATGGGGCTTATAATAGGGCTTATGGGGGATACTAAGTAGACTTACTAAGTCAACAGGGGCTCCAAGTAGGGAACTATAAGGACCAAAGCCCTAAGCGGTCCAAGTACCATTATAGTGAGTCTTTGGGCACCAAAAGTACATACCATACCATTCCTTCCTTTCCCTAGGGATCTAAGGCATCATGTATTAAGGCTTTTGGGCCCAAAGACCATACTAAATGTGGCTTTTGGGCTGTGTTGATCCCTAGGGTAAGGGGGTTTATGGTTTAAGGGTTGTAGGGTTGAAGGGTTTAGGGTTCAAGGGCTTAGGGTTTAAGGGGTTAGAGTTTGAGGGTTTAGGGTTTAATTGGGGCTTACTATAAGGGCTCCCACCCACACGGGTCTCCTTGAGGCTCCTTCCAGGGTTCCTTTACGCTAAAACCCCCTTCAGGGGTCCTGTGAGGGTTCCTTCAAGAAGTCTTTGGGGGTTCGTCTATTAGGTTCCTTGATGTACGTACTCATGCAACGCTACTTTCAAGTGGGCATGCTCTGTAGTTTCCTGCCAGCTTAGGAGCTGTCCGTGCCGGTATTGGGGCGTCTGCGAAACGGACAGGTTAACACGGCTCGTTCCTTCTTCGTCACCTGCGCTCAGGCGATCAAGGAATAAATTTTGGCACCTACATATTCGTGAACTGGTTCGACTAGCCAACGATGCCGGCATAGACAGGTTCGGTGCTGCAGTTGGCCGCCCCACTTATGCACGAACTTTCGGCTATGATCAGATGCTGATTTTTATTCGGCGAACGCGCTTGCTTAACATAGGCACATGTCACGACCGCCATAGTCACCGGATGAGATTTGTGCATTGGCATTGGCAGCTCTTCTCGGCGATGGCGTCCTATAAGGGGTACAAATTATAGGTCCTATGAGGGTTGCTATAGCCCTGAGCTCGTACGATTTATTGTTTAGGCTCACGAGTTCAGGATGTCGGGTTGAGGGTTTAGGGTTGACCTATGTGCTCATGAACTACATATCATTTGGCCTTGCAGGGGGTTTCTACACACTCTGGGGCCATTAGTCTATACTATGTAGTCGGTGCTAAGCGCTCAAGTAGGAAATATGGTTTCAGGTTGTCTGAACCCCAGAACCATTTGTTTAAGGACCTAATTATACAAGTACATCATAACACGGAGCCCTTCAAGCGTGGGTTTCTTGGAGTCCAGATACCTGGTTCGGGCACACGACCTTACAAAGCTTTAAATCCCGGAACCCTAACCCTAAAACCTTGACCCCCCTTATACCTCTAAACCTTGAACCCTATGCCCATATCCCCCAAACCCGAAATGCCCAATTGGGGCTTGCGAAAGCCGTAAACCCCGACGCCGTAACCCCCACGCCCAAACTGCAAGCCCATCAGCCCTAAACCCTATGTCCTGGACTCCTAAACGCACCCTGATCCCTATGCCCCAAACTCTAAACACATCAGTCCTAAACCTGAACTCCTAAATCCTACAGACAGCAGGAACGAAAAAGGCTCCACAACAAAAGCAAAACCTAATATAGGGGCCTTTATCTTACCCCAAGGGTCCAAGTACCTAATAATCATATAGTATCCTAAATCCTAAAACGTACATAACTAAACCCGAGTACCACATTATTGGGTCCTTTGGACCCTTGGGGAACCCCCTAAAACTTAAACCCTAAACCCAAGACCCTAAACCCTGAACCCCAAGAGAACCCCCAAAACCACTGGTTAGTAGACCCTAAACCGCAAACCCCCACTTAAAAATATATATATATATATATATATATAACGCAAACCCTCAGGCAGACTCCGAGTCTGATCGTTTTTCGCTCCTCTCCGGCCGCGAGACCGTGCAAAGTCACCCCAGCCAGGGCCCAAGGAGCTTTGAGGCTTAGGTTTTAGGGTTTACGGTTTAGGGTTTAGGGTTTAGGGTTTAGGGTCTAGGCTAGGTTGGATTTTGGAGCTTTTTTTGCTTTATTTGGGTTTATAAGGGGCCGTGTATATGAATATTTTTCAGGGTGTTTAAAGGCCAACCCAGAAGGTTCTGTAGTCAGATCTTCTAATATTTCTTTGTAAAAAATTCGCAACATAACATAGTAGAGATCCTTCACGGTTCATTCGGCCAGGGGTCTCCATTTAATTATTGGTTTATCCGACACTTAGCCTGCATACTTTTCGTTGTGGCTGTCTGTCGCAGCAAGGAAACCGAGTCTCGCAAACCATTTCAACAGGAAAAGCAGAATCATAGCCTTAAGCCCAGATCTTGAATTTTCAGTCACCGAGTTCTCTTCCTGCTCCATGCTTCCATGGGACAGATTCGAAAAGCTGCAAGCAATGACATCGCTTGAGCTGGGAATCCCCTCAACTCAGAAATCCCATGAGCTCGACTTGAAGGATCAAGGGACTCACCCTGAAGGGGTTGCTAAATACATAGGTACTAGAGGGTCAAAGTTTATGCTGTATGGGTACTGGGTGTTGATGTTTTAGTATGACACATTGGTATATGTGTGTGTGTGTGTGCGTGTGGGTGTGTGTGTGTGTCTGTGTGAAACGAACAGGTAACTCCCAAGCCCCGCAAATACGTAAACAGTTACAGTCATGAACACAGACTGTGAAGAAGTGAACAGATAAACGGACAAAGGATCGATAAGACACTCGACAAAGTGATGTTAAAGTTGGTATAAGTATACATACAACTAATTGAAAATTCATTACATAAGAATTAGGTAGATGAATGAGTAAGTCAAGGAACAGATTGAATAAACGGCCTAAATGAATGCATGAACAAATAAATAAACAACACAGCTATATAGCATAACAAACATGTGTTTATGTATGTGTACATGTAACGTAGATAGGCTTATGGATAACCTGCTTGTCAAATTTACGGGTTCCTCAGTTGCCTAGGTCCTTGAAGCTAGAGCTAGGGTTCAGAGAAGTACAGGGTGAAAGCTTTCTGGGTGAAGACTTGTCACAAGAGCAGCATCGGAACTCGCGAAGAGCTCGGTTTCACCGCCCTGGGTTTAGGGTTTGGGCATAATATCTGCAAAACAGGGCTGTTGCAGAACCAGAAATCCTCAAATGCCGAATCTTCTTTCAGAGTGGCCGAAGCCCGAAGCCTGAAGCCCATGCCAACACACCCAAATTCCTAAACCCTTAACCTTGAGACCCTAACCTATGTGTGTTGAAAATATCTGTCGAAACCACACGAAGCAACCCTTCAAAACAAATAGCTCGTTGATCTCGAAGGCGTGTCTAGCAGGACAAGATCAAGCTCCGGTCTGATCCTGAAATGGTGTTAAGGTATAGGGTTTCAGGGTTTAGGGTTTAGAAGTTTAGGGGTAGGGTTCAGGGGTTTATGGGTGGTTAGGGTTCAGGTGTTTTTGAGGTTTAGGTTTCAACTTGGGGGTTAACTAGGGATAATCCTGCATCATGGCATCTTCTGGTAGAAACTCAAGGGCTTGCTACACATATGGGTAGTTGTCAAAATTATGGTCCTTTTGGGGTCCTTGCTATAATACCCGTGCCCAAAAAGGGACCCCGAATTTTCGGAAACCCCCATATCAAGGCAAGAGTTCAGCGAGGTTACGAGTAAGGTGCACGTGCTGTGGGAGCAGTTGGCCCTGAACTACGCCTCACCTCGAGACCATTCAAGATCAGAGAACTTGCGCTCGCACTTCCCAGACCTTCCATTATCTCTTGGTTGATTAAGGGTTATACCTTAAATAATTTCAGGGATTTACAATAGTTTAAGGTACATTCCTTATTCATGGGATATTGGAAGTCGGCGAAGAACCCGGAGGACGAGGCGGATGGTTGGCATTGGATCCAGTACACATGCGAGGGCATCAGCCATTTCAAAAATGGCAACTCCGGGACCGCTGTGATGCTTTCAGCATCGACAAATCAAATCATGTTTCATGCCGGGGTGCAACAGAATGACAGCCGGCATGGCTGGGGAATACGGGTCGTCAAGTGGCACGATACTCCTCACCTCCCCTTGAAGCCCACTGGGTCCAAGAATCTGGTCAAATACGTCCAGCGAATGGTTGACCGGACGGCCCGACCATCCGGCCTGCAGCAGATCATTGATGGCCCTGCTCAGGCCGCCACTGCTGTTGAGGACGCCCGTGGGGTGGATGGCCACGCAGCGGTCGAGACGGAGATGGAGACCAAACCCAAGAAGGCGCCCCGTAGTAAGAAGGAAGCCGGCGACGCATCCAGCCAGCAAAGTGTCTCTGCCCTCAACCCTGAACCCTCAACCTCTAAACCGCAAAAGCCCTAAACCCTGAAGCCCTCAACCCTGCACCCTCAACTTCTAAACCGTAAAAGCCCTAAACACACCTGTAGGAGGAACTGAAGGTTGCCCTTTGTTTGAAGTAGCTACGACTCTTTGGTGGGAAAGTCGTCGCAGGATGAATGAGCGTGGATGTAAGAAGCGTCGCGCATGGAACACATTTAGCTGTCCCTGGTTCCGGGCAGGTAGCTGCGCACACAATCCGGGATTGCGTGTTATATGTCGAGTGGATATGGATGCTGGTTTGCGGCAGGGACGGCTGCCAACTTTCAACTCAAACTCTAAAGTTTGTGGATTCGTTGCAGGAGCCCCCAATTCAAACCTGAGCCAGAAACCCTAATCCCAAAAGTTGTTCTAAACCCTAAACCCTGTACCCTAAGCCCCAAACCAAACAGTTGGTCAAAACGGGGCTTCTGCCAAATCAGGTGTGCCGGTCGAAGGGAAGCAGCCGAAAGTTGGTCGACAGGCAGGGCAGGGCACTTCCTTTGACCCAAGGGTCCATGTACCCAAGCAGCATATACTGTGGTCTTAAAGTAGCCCCTATATGGCTTCAAGGGCCCAGACGTTCATCAAGCAAGATAATCAGCAAGTCGGTACATTTAGCGGTTGCCTGTTATTGTTCAGGTCACCGTGGCCATGAAGGGCGAGGGCTTCTTCGGCACTCCCACACATTGCAAGACTCGTGCCCGCTGATACATAGGAACCGCCGGCAAGCCTAGAAACTAAGAAGTGCTTCTTGACGGTAACCGTCTGTTGGACTCAGTTGATATTATATCTGCATCTTGGGATATTGTTCCCATGTTGAGTAATTCCGCAAACCCTACACTGCCATAAACTGTAGACCGTTCCGCACAGGGAGTGAAAATCCTCGATTGCAGACACCGAGGCTTAAATTGCTCGGCATAGTTCCAAAGATCGTCTTCAAACCCGAGTCTGATTTTCAGGCCCCTCAGCCCCTCTAACCTAACCCCGTGGCCCCACGCCCAGAAAGCCCAATACCCCTTAATTAAGGAATATACCTTAAATTATGGGGATTAAAGGTATATTCCTTAATCAAGGGGTTTTGGGCACATGCGAAGCGCCGTCAGGCCACTCCCGATCGTCCAGGTCGGAAACACGTTGGTGTCTCTTGGGTTCACGGGTACGACTCGGGTTCAGGGTTGAGGCTTCTTGTCGGCCCGAACTCACACCTACATTCTTCGTCCACCTCTAGCCCTAAACCCCGACCTTCTTGTCGAGCGGCATACGCAAGTTAAACCTCAGCTTGCCGTAGAACCCGTCTCCGAGCAGCCTGTTCCAGAACTTGCCGGCCATGGATGTTCCGGTAGAGGAGTTTGTTGGGTTTACCGTTGGCAAAAATGTTGAAACAGATTCTGATTCAGGCGTTGTTCGGTCTTTTTGTCAGGCTTGGTTAGGATAGTGTCTGGTCACATTCCAAGTTAAGTTCCTTCCGACTGCCGTCCAGCCTGATAAACTCGAAACTTCCAATAGATTCCATGTGCTTCGCGGCGAATTTGTCTATTATCCGGGAACCCACGGAAGAATTGGAATCCTAAACCCAAATCATGCTTTATCAGGTAGTGAGACTTCATCCGCCCCAGCCACGCCAAGCCGTGCGGCAGGTTCTCTGCACTTAATTTGGATTTCAGGGCTTGCGAGTTGCATAACAACGCTTTAGCTCTGCTGTACCGACGCCATGTCAGGAATTGTGCAGGTTTCGGTGAAGGCATGTGGCGTGCAGATGTCCGAAAAGACACCAATCAGATTGAGTCTACTTTCATAATGGCAGTGACGCTTTTTGAGCAGTCTTACGTTGCAATAGAAGGCTGAGGCTGAGGAGTAGTTTTTGGGCGTTTCAGGGGTGATTGCATGAGTTTGAGGCGTCGGGTGAGCGGGAGGGGTTGCGTGTGAAGCGGAATGCATTTTGCCAGATATGGAACTGTCGTTTGGTCCGGGTTTTCGTACCTGGATGCTATCTAATTAGTCACAGGAGATTCAATTGAGCTCGGCTTGTCAGTGCAACAGTTGTCCATAGCTCCATAACAGTGCGAATGGTTCATTGCACAGCGGGTGTCACCACCTGTATATAATTACGTTACGTAGTAAGCCCAACCCTCACACGGAAAACCAAAAACTTACCCAGTCTTCTTAGCAGCTGGGTAGGTAACCGTTAACCTTCTGGGGTTTAAATAGGTCATCCCTAAAGACTCCTTAGGAACTATTTTTCCGTTTTGGTTCATATAAAACCCAACAGAATATTCAAACATAGTTACTGCGGTTCTAAGGGGGGTGTAGATCCTAGCAAAATTGAGCCGTGGGCTAGGCTTTTTTCAGCCCCGAAGTCTTAGCGGTCTGCTTATTATAGGGGCCTCAATAGCTACCCATACTATTTTGGGGGGGTTCCTTAATATGGTTGTGGTGTACCCCCTGCGGAGGCCGTGAGGCTGACAGTGCAACTTACTGCCGCATTTTCTGGCAGCTACTTATAATCATATATCACCATAAACCCTTGTAGCCTGAAGGTAACCCTTACGCTAGTTTGTTTAGTATCCTTGACAGACAAACCTAAACCCTAGATCCTGAATGCAAGAGGCCCGGCGCCCTCAAAGGCGTCGCTGTTGCACGGGACCTCGGCCAAGTCTCTGCCCGAGGCGTCCCAAGCTGGGTGCTGTGAGTTTAGGGTTTGGGATGTAGTGTGATTTGAAAGTTTAACCCGAAAGCCGAACCAGAGGTTGGTGGTTTTAGGGTTGGATTTCCGGGTTGGCGAGTGATGGTTGAACGTTAGAGGTAGAATATATGGGTCGGCATATTTAACTGAATTATTCGAAGGATCCGTAGTTTTCTATAGTAGTATACTATGCCCCGCAAATCTTTACGCTAAGCATTAAGGCACTTATAGCAATTATGTTTATTAATTGAAGCTTATAGGTTTGGAGGGTGAGAGGTTCAGTTTTTTCATCCCAGCCCCCAGGAAGTCTTTCGAGGTGCATGGATCTTACCAAGGCAGTAATAAAAGGGCCGTATCCAGTTCTAACAATTTTAACGAGGTGTAAGGGAAATATAATGATGTGAAGGAATCAGCTATGCACGTGAGGCCATTCAAGGGTCCACGTACGATTTATGGCTTCTTGGCTCTGGGGCCCAAAGCCAGGAGTGCGGAATAAGGTAAGTGACCCGGACTGCAAATCTTAAAACCCGCATACGTTCAACTGCGCGTACATGCCACCCCAAACGGGTGTCGATATGCGTGCGATACTATTAGGCTTCTTTCGTACGGATGCTTGTGGTATATGCTTTAATTGAGGGGTTGTAGGGTTTGCACTCGCTGGGCACAGGATGAGACACTCCAAGAAGAGACGTCTCCTGTCGAAGGTGCCAGGGCGAGTTTGAGTTCAAGGGAGAGTGATACAGAGGCATGACTCTTGGGACATGTTAGAATCTTTGCAATTTTCTGGCTTCTATCAGGTTTCGGAAATCCTAAACCCTAAACCCTAAACATTTAACCCTAAACCCTAAACCCCTAAACCCTAAACCAGGTAGTACTGAACTAAGGCTTGTTGGGTGTTTCCAGAAATAGGGGACCCTAATTATAGTACTCTACATAGAAGGATCCTTATTATGAGGACCCCGAAACAAGGTACCCCTAATTTTCGGAAACTCCAAACCCTGAACCCTTTATACAACCCTTATAGATCCCTTTTTTTGTACCCCTAAACCCTAAACCCATATGGCAGCTTCGCTGCCTGAGAAGATCGGAGTCTTAGAGAAGATCGGAGTCCCACCAAGCTAACGTACAGCAGAGCTGACCGAGCGCCGAACCCAAACCTCAAGCGCCTAGCCTTCGTTAGGGCGTAGGTTCAGTTTGGGGGTTTAGGGTTTAGGGGTTTTGGGTTCTCCCTAGTAGTCGAGTAGGTAACCTTTAACCTTTTCGGGTAGTATAGTCCCTATATACTCCCTTCATAGCCAAAAAGGTTAACTTTCTAGGATGCCCAGTAGTACCCTTATTCCCTTTTTCTAGTCCTAGGTTCCTTATAAAGTTACCCAATACCAAAAAGAGAGGCGTTTTTATTCTTAGAGTACCCTGAATACTAAGTGCCGTATTATAATAAGGACCCAAAAAGGGGCCCGAATATTGACAACCACCCATATCGGAATTTCGTATTCAGGCCCCTTCGCTCAAACCCTGAACTTTTAAAGTCTCTAATTACTCCGAAGTCACTCATATCCCAAGGGTCCAAGTACCTAAAGAATCATATACTCTCTTAAATATTGAGCTACATAACTCCTATCCCACACCCAAGTACCTAATTCTTGAGTCCTTTGGATCCGTAGGGATAAGGTGCCCGGGTTTAGGTTTGGGTGTAGGGTTTGGGGATACGCTGCCTGGATCCGGTCAGGTTCTTCCTGTGTTTGGGGGGGGGGAGGGGGGGGTACAGAGTGCAGCTGTTCTACTTGGAGGATCGTGGGACTTAGTAAGTAAGGTTATAAGTACCTTAATTGGGTTATAAGTAGTTATAAATATAGTTACCCTATTTATAACCTTACTTACTAAGTCCCATGATCCTCCAAGTAGACCCGAAGCCCTCGTAATGGACTGTAGCGGTTCAGGGCTTCCTAAAGTTCATAAAGCCTGAGCCCTAAACCCTGATAGTCTGAATTGAGTTTGATTTTTGGTGTTCCGGGACTGGTTTTGCAGAGTTGCTGGATGTGTCTAGGTTTCGTTTTTGGAGTCCTTGAGGCTATCGAGCTAGTAGTGTTTGAGGTTTAGGGTCTTGAGCCCCGAACGACCGCATAACATAAGCATCCTATACTCTGGGTATGAGGACCCTTTTGAGGGGGAATCCAAGCAACCTTAATTGCGAGTTCCTGAGTAGCTAGTTACCATTGCCTCCAAGACCCTTCTGAATGCCTCAGGCTTCCACCAGAAACCTGACCTCTAAGCAAAATTCGGGGTTGTAGGCGCTATACACCCTAAAGCCCTAAACCCGAAAGCCCCGAACCCTAAAGCCCCAAACCCTAAAGCCCTAAACCTGAAAGCCCTAAACCCTAAAGCCCCAAACCCTAAACCCGAAAGCCCTAAACCCTCAAGCCCTAAACCCTAAAGCCCTCAAGCCCGAAAGCCCTTGACCCTAAAGCCCCAGACCCTATAAAGGAAAGCCAGGCTTCCGGTCTTCTATTTCCCGGCACCAGGGCTCGGTCGCATTCGTTACAAGTCAAAGGTATGGGGCCCCTAATATGGACCCTTAAACCTTTTTTTTGGGGTTCTAGGGACCCTTAAGAGTCTATGCATATATATATATATATATATGTATATATATATATATATATGTTATATAGTAGGTATTTAAGGATCCCAAGGTTAAGGGCCCATACTAGGGGCGCATGGTTTCAACCCTTGAACCAGAGAACCCATCAGTTCTTGGGGATTTGAATCATCGCTAGGCATCGATGTGGGGTAACGTTTAATTTCCTGTACTGTTTAGTATAGAGCCCTAATTCTAAAGAAGTTTGGGGACGGTTGAATCGATACCTAGATCAGCAATATAGTCTCCATGTATGATAGCCCCCACAGAACCACATCCTTTATACCCTCCCCCACTTAACTCTAACCATCCTAAACCCGAAACAGCTAGCCCTAAAACCTAAACCCTTGACCCTTTACAGGATTTAAAGATGTTCTGGCGTTTGTAGAGCTTAAAGGTGTCAGGGTTCAGGGCTGATGAAGGCGAAAGCTTCCTAAAGCATGCACATCTAAACCGAACTTCATGCGCGAAACATGGTGAATACTCGTGACTTACCCACCCTAAACCCTGTAAAAGCCTGCTCCCCCAGCTAAAGACGCTGTGCCCAAAGGACCTCGCGAGGAGAGACGAGGCTCCGTGGTCGAACAGGGTGCCTTTTAAAGGGATCCTATCAGTCAGGGTTCTACAAGGGATCTAGAGGGGCACTATGATATAGGGGCCTTAATAACTAGAATAGGGTATGGGGTGTACCTAGAGGCTCCATAGTGGTCGAATACGGTTCTTTTTAACGGGTTCTTATAAAAAGTCTATAAGGGCTACTCTAAGTAGTATATAGGTAATTCTTAAGGCCCCTATAGTAACTCCCGCACTGTCCAGGCCTCTTGGGGTTCGGATTTAGGGTTTACCTAGAGGCTCCACTGTAGTTCCAATTGCGGGCTCACAATTAGAATTCTATAATGGTCTGGGTTTGGATTACAAGGCCTTGGGTGACCTGGGTAAGTCTTAGGATGTAGAGCTTAGGTTTAAAAGCTTCCAGTCGAAAAGTCGGGTCTTTTGGGGTGCAAAGATCTCGCGCGTTCGCTCGTAAATTTCAGGATTTCAGGCTTTGAGTTTTGCAGGCTTCGGCCTCAGGTGGTGCATGGGCCTGAGTGATGAGTAGCAGTGCCCGTCATGTCCCAGCTTGCAGCAAGTTGGAGCTCAGTGCTTCAACCTAGGGAGGCCGCCACTTCCGACGAGGGCACCGACACTGATCTCGCCGAGGGCACAGAGAACGGCAACGGTGAGAAAGCCGACCTTCGGGAGAGTATGAGCGATTTTAGCGTGAAAAGGGAGTTGAAGCCGGCTTTGGCGGCCGCATTGCTGTTCAGTTCCAGCATACTGCTACCACCCCGGTAACAGAATTGTCTCCAGGGCATGAGTTCAACCTCTCCTTCGAGTGCAAGATTTAAAGAGGCGTTTGAAGAGCCTCATAAAGCCTAAACCCCAAACCCTCTGAAGAGCTCCGAAAGTTTCGTCCGAAAGCCCTAAACCCTAAACCTATCCTAAACCTTAAACCCTAAACCTTTTCAACAGCCGGAAAGGAAAAAAACTACCAAAAAAGGCGGCTTACGGAACTTCCTGTCCGACGTGCTCTTCGGGGATGACGATGATGAGGAGGCCATGCTTGCTCGACGTTCAGGGTTTGGGGAGAGACAGGACCCCCCCCCCCCAATGGCCCTTTAATTGGAGCTTCTATGATCCTTAATAGTGAGTGTTTAGGGTGCATTAGAGGGTAGTTGGGGGGTCTTAGTGTGAGTTTTGAATTTCAGGTTTATAGGGTTTAGAGAAAGAGGCTTTGGGGTTTGGGGTTTAGGGGTTGGTTCTTTGAACAGAGCCTGGCTGGTCTTGAAAGTGCTCAATAGTTGGTGTCTGGCTATACGAAGGTCAGCTGGAGAGGAGAGTCTAGGTGCGAAAGCACGTAGTTCCTGTGGTGTGCAATAAACTTAGGGTTTTTGTGACCGAAATGCCTCTCGAGGCTTAGTGGAAGAGGGGGACAGGCTTCAGCACGAAGCTGCATGAAGCCTATCTAGGTTCCTTAGTAGTAGCATTTTGCGCTTTTTTGTTTTAGGGTCCGGTTATTAAAGCCGAATAGTAGGAATAAGGGTACCCTTATCAAAATCGGGGCTACTCAGGAACCTAGCTGTAATAGCCCAAGCCCTGAGGCCCTAAGTGCCTCAGTCAAGTTTTCTCGGCATTCGGTACCTAGCGGAGGGAAAGGTGGCTTGAAAGAAACACACACAGACAACATCGAAATTGCAAGCCCTGATTCCTAAATCTCAAAACCCAATCCTTTGCGCTGAAGCCCCAAATTTAGACGAAACGAGGACTCAGAGTAGGCCCTCATTCCCTTTTTAGGGTTTAGGTTCCCTTATAACCCCCCTTAAACCAAAAAGCTCTTAAGTCTACTTGGAGGATCATGGGACTTAATAAGTGGGGTTACAAATAAGGTAACTATATTTGTAACTACTTATAATCCCAGTTAAGGTACTTATAACCTTGCTCCCATGAACCTCCAAGTCGGAAAGATGGCACAGGAGGATGTGGAAGAACGGGCTGACGCCGACGCAGAAGGTCAGTCGGGTTCGCGGGCATCAGACTTGGGGCTGTTGGGTTCCCAGGGTTTAATACAGGGGCCTTACAATTGCCTATACTATTTTGGGGGTTCCTTAAGTATAATTATAGTATAATGGTTCCCAAACCCTATTCTAATTTTTAAGGCCTCATTTTTACCTACCCTACTCAACCTACCGTATCAAGGACAAAAGCAGAAAGCAGTACACGGAGGCTAACAAGGTAGTTAGGCCATTTACAGGGCTCAGGTAGGGTTTTAGGCTGGGGAAGTTTCGAATTAGGTTTTGGGGGCTTGGGGTTTCTTTGTTTGGGGTAGTTTCGAATTAGGTTTTGGGGGCTTGGGGTTTCTTTGTTTGGGGTGGTCGCTTAAAGGATCATGGGACTTTGTCAGTGGGGTTATAAATAAGGTAACTATAATTACTACTTATACGTACTTATAACCCCAATCAAGGTACTTATACGTACTTACTAAGTCCCATGCTCCTCCAAGTAGACCCTAAACCCTAAACCCTATAGATCCCTTTAAGGAGCCCTTTAAGGGAACCCTTATAGAAACCCTTATAACCCTACTTACTAAGTCCCATGATCCTCCCAGAGGGTTCAGGAGATGCGAGCTCAGGGGGGTTCGGGTCAGACCTCCGGTTGGGGAACGGGGGGTTTACCTTAACCTACCAAAACCTACTTTTTTGTAGGGTCCCTAGAAATTCCATATTAGGGTTTATAATAAGAACCAACAAAAAAGTAGGGTGTGGTAGTTTAAGGTAGGGCTTCAGGATTTCGAATTTGGGAAGCTTGCTGTAGTGCGTTGCTTCCAACGCTCTGTGATTGAAGAGTGAGCGACACTTCGAAGAGAAGTGCATCCGTCTTTCGATGGCTGTTTGTTTGTGTCACCGTATAAGAATCCTTAAAACTTAGAACTTTTGGAAAGCCTACTAAAAGCAGATTCAAAGCAGGATCGAAGCCTCCTAGTTGCTACTGCTCCGGTTCCGAAGCCCTGAACCGACATCCAAACCCTAAACCCTACTTACGAAGTCCCCTTATCCTCCAGTCCCCTAGAGCCCCATAACCCTTGACCGACACGTTGCATGTACGCAGTACCCTGTGCAGGAGCGCTTCGAGCACCCTTACAGGAACCCTTAAAGTAACCGTTGCTCTAAGGGCCCATGTACCCAACTAGTATATACCTTGGCCTTAAAGTATTCCCTATTTGGGTGCCGTGGGGTCAAAGTATGTACTATCTGGGTACATGGACCCTTAGGGTTAGTAGCCCTTGTAGCAACTGCCCTTAGGGCCCATGATGTTTGCTCTTACTAGAGGTTTTCAATTCATAGTGGGATTGCTGACTGTAAGATGTCTGAAATACTGTGCTTACCCGAACCCCGCCCCGCCTTCAAAGAAACATGTGGGTAGTTCAATAAAGTTCAATAGCCCAACACCCATATACGGCTGTTATTCTACCTATTTGTGTCCTTCAAAGATCTCCACCACTGCCTGCAGGAAGCCGCGCAGCTCAGCGCGAGACTAGGCCTGGTTCAAAGGTTTTTTGCTTGCAGTTGCTTGCAGCCCACAAAACTTACGGTTCGGGTTCCCTGTTTTTTAAGCTCCCATATTTGCGAAGAGTTTTGTTTTCCTAGTTACTCTTCGTGAAGAGTGCTTTTAGACTGCATTCCAGCACAACTGAAAGTTACGAGGCCCCGGCGAATCCGATATGCACTTGTACGAGCCCTGTGCGAAGCGCTGTACAGGGGTTTCTATAAGGGTTCCTTAAAGGGCTTCTTAGGGGTTTCTATAAGGGATTCCTTAAAGGGTACAGCTAAACTTACTCCGGACATTCATTGAAGCTCTTTGTTCGAGGGTCGCCGGCCCTGGTTGGCAACTCTTTGGTTGGAAGCCCCATCGGTTGGTGTAGCTGGGTTGAAGGTATAGAGCCCACAACCGACGAACGACACCTCCCTGCAGCAAACAGATCCCTATTCTTGTAACTTGAATGGAGTTCCTTAACAAGAACCCAGGGTTTAGGGATCCCGGGATGTGGGTTCAGGGATGTTATTGCGCCCTGCTGCATGAAAACAAACGCACTGGCAGAGCCTCGAAGCTTCAAACTCCCAACATCGAGGTCTCGAATCTCTGACTCATACGCCTCCCAGTGAACGCTAATATAAAGGGGCCTTAGTAATTAGAAGCGGGTTTCTGGGCCCATTATACTAGATTCATAATAAGGAACCCCCCCCCCAATAGTATTGGTAATTATTCGGGCCCCTATACTAAATCCTTGCAGTAGCCCTTACAGTAACCCTTGGAGACCCCTTTAAAGGAACCCTAGGTAGCCTAGTCAGGCCCCTTTTCTTGCCGAAATCTGAAGCTCCCACAAAGCACGGAAGGCGTGTGGTTTGCTGCTCTGGTGCTGCGCGCTTTCGCTGCAATGGTGGGAGGGTTTGGCAAGCCGCGTTCCGAGGAAGTTGTGGCCTGGGGTGCGAATGTTTGCTCAGGATTTTCTGAGAGGTTTTTCAAACTAACTAGGATCCCCAGTAGTACCCTTATTCCTTTTTTGTAGTCCTAGGTTCCTTATAAAGTTACCCAATACCAAAAAGAGAGGCCTTTTTATTCTTAGGTTACTGGGTATCCTAGCTAAAGCATGGTTTAACCCTGAACCCGAAAAGGCTGCAAGTGTCAAAGGTGTTTCGGATACGGTAAAAGAGACCCTGATGCGGAAAAATCCTGCCTCTTAGAACACGCAAGTACTGAAAAACCTGTCGCTTAGGCAGAACCCTATACCCTAAGCTGCCAAATCTCAAGCTCGGCACCGCGAACACGCAAAAAAAACAGCTGGACATGACCCTAAACAACAACCGTGAACAGTAGGATCCCAGGGACCCACACCCGCGAAACCTTACTGTAAACCCAGACCCGAAATAGCAGGATCCTTGTTACAAGGACCCCTGCACAGGGGAGCCCAAACTATCTGAAACCCTAAACCCCTAAACCATAAACCCTCAGCCCTTAACTCTTACCATAAACTCTAAACCCTATAAACCCTAAACCTCCGCACCCTAAACCCTCCACCCCTAAACCCTATACCCTCAACCCTTCAGTCTGGTTGTCAAGGCCTTTGCTGGCTCTGACGTTGGAGTCGGCCAGTCTGATCCTTAGGGGTTTACCACTTTAGAGTTTAGGGCCGGGTTTAGGGTTATTGCAGTGTGTGGGCAGGGCCAGTATGGGTTCGGGGTTCAGGTGTTTGTAGGGTTAGGGGTTTAATTCGGATTCAGCATTTACAGGTTTTTGCCTTAAGGGTTTAGGGCAATGTAATTTGTCTTCGTTGTTGTTGATATTGCTGTTTCGCTTGAAGATACTCTTCAGATATGTGACTTGTCTTTCTTCATGGCTCTCGGGAAAGACTCGAGTCTTAGGGGTACTTAGAAATATTTTTTTAGTTTTTGGTTATTATAATCCCTAAGAAGCAGCTAAAATTATAATTTTTGCTAGGGTTCTAAGTTCAGTATAGGAGTAGGTTACGGTTGAGGTCTTGACGTTTGACTGTTGCGGCTTTGTTCGCTTCAGGCTTCCGCTCATAATTTGATTCAGAGCTTCTGCCCAGACCTTCCAAAATCCTTTAATTAAGGAATATACTTTAAAATATAATAGGGTCCCTAATATGATTTAAGGTATACTCCTTAATTAAGGGGTTTTGGAAGGTCTGGGTTCTGGAGCCGGGCTTAGAAGCCTAATTATCGGCAGTAGCTGCTTAAACTTGGCTGGCGGTGGGTGATTCATTAGTTTCCAGCAAAGACTGCGCTCCAACCAAGCTGGAAGAGCGTCCGCGCAACTAGTGCTGTCCCTCCACTCTGCTATCTGCAGCCCTGAATCGCCGTCTGGGTGTTAGCACCCAGTGTGTAACTTCTCACCCTTTCACCGGATTAGGGTTAGGTTGCAGTGCAGGGTTCATAAACCCCTGCAGAAGACCCCAGTGGTAGAGTAGGCAACCTTTCACCTTTTTTGGGTAGTATAGTCCCTTCATAACCCCTATATAACCAAAAAGGGTTAAGCTGTAGTTCCCCATGATACCCGACAAGTAGGAGGCAGAAACTTATGCTCTGATATGTTCGATTCGCCCAGCTGCAGCAGTTGCACCATCTACAGCTCGCCATGCGAGAAGGTCCAGATGATCCAGCAAAGCCGAACGGCAAGTTCCCAGAGAGCCAAATAGGTGGTTGTCAAACTTAGGGTCCCTAAGTATGAGGTGTCGCATTATAATAAGGACCCAAAAGGGGACCCTAGTTTTGACAACCACCCAAATACATTCTTTGATGTCTGAGCGCCGGACACAACTCGCTCAGCAATTGCCTCGTCGTTTGCGGACTTCGTTCCGGTGCTTGGACCGGACTGGGCAGCAGGTGGTCATGTTGTTGTACGTGGTGGCACCGCACGTGGCACAAGATTTGACTGAAACGGCGCTGACCAAGGACGGACCTTAAACCGTAATATTAAGACCCATATAATTTAGAAGCTGCCCCCACCCTGTGATAGTGACTATATAAGGATTAAATTAGGGCCCTATTATATTCCAATTATACCACTATTACAGGGTGGGGGCAGCTTCTAAAATATGATTTAAGGTGTAATCCTTAATTAAGGGGTATTGGGATCTCTGGGTTCGTCACAGTGCAGCGAGGGCAGAAGGAAGCCCTTTCCAGCAGAGCAGAAACACACATGGGAGTTTCCGAAAATAGGGAACCCTAATATAGTACCCTAAATAGTAGGATCCCTATTATAAGGACCCCATAATAACGTACCCCTAATTTTCGGAAACTCCCAAATCGGTTATGAGCCCCTCAACTCTAAACCATCCTTGACTGCAACACCCAGTCCTAAAACACAAACCCCTAAACCCTACCCAGAGGCTCCATAGTAGTTCCTTTTTGGGATTACCTTATAGGATTCTATATATGAACCCCAAAAAGGAACTACTTTGGAGCCTTAGGGTATACCCCGAATCCCTATTCCCCAGACCCTACAGCCCCCAAAATTCTGCTTTGGATAGACCTCGAGGTGCGGCAGCTGAGCAATCCGCGCATTCCCAATCCAGTGCCTGGGCGGTTCAGGCTTTCAGAGTTTCGAGGGTTTGGGGTTTCAGTTTGGGGTTTCCGGGTTTAGGGTTGTGGGGTTTCGGGTTTTTGGTTTCGAGATCAGGGTCTGCCAGACAACTCTCAGCTGTTGGTGAAGGGGGTGGGAGGGTGGGGGGTTTTAAGGGGTTTCGTATGTGATTTCGGTTTGTCGGTTGTTTAAAATATGAGTGTGTACTGGCTTTCAAGATTCATGAAGTTGGCTGGCCATGAATCCTATTACATTGGGGTTTTTGGGCCAGGGTTTCTTAATCTGGTTCCTACCTTATACCCTAACCTTTCTGAACCCCTCGTCGTTCATCCGAGGCGTGATTGGCACCTTTGCCCTCATTGGCATCTCCGCCATGGCTGTGTTGGGGACCCCTGCGGGCTTGACAGAGTCTGTCTAACCCAGAGGGTCCATATACACGTACCATGGAATTAGGTACCGAAAGACCATCCCCATTATGGTTTTGGGGATCTAATTCCATGATGGTCGTGCATATGGAATCTCTGGGGTCGAGGTCTAGTGGTTGAAACTGGGGGCATCTGACAGTGTTCTCATGTAGACCCTTGATGGGTCTAGGATTTTGGTACGACCTCTGTAGTACCCCCAGAAGCGCTTCCAGGAATCTTAAAAGGCTTAAAAATTTTAAACACATCCTAAACCCCCGGAATCTACGCCACAACCGGTGAGGCCTCAACATCTCAAGCTCCCACACGACGAAGCTCGCGTGAACCACCAGTACCCGTGCTAAAGAAGTAGACCAGGAACCATGAAGGGATACCTCTACTTGAAGTTTAAGTTTGTTTGTCAGGTAAGGGACGTGGGCATTTCTGTGCAGACGCCTCATACTCATACTTGATACTATTTCTTCGGGCTCTTAATTAGTTACCTGCAGCGATGTTACATTATACTCCAACAGGCACCAAAACTCGAGACCTTACAATCGTCCCTGAAACTCTGAAACGCGCGAAGCCCTAAAACCCGAAGCCTTTATGGGAAGCCCTGAAGCCCAAACCCCTAGACTATGGTCTCCTTAGGAATTATTTTCTATGTTTGTTCATATTTAAATCCCAAGAGATTATTGAAACTGTCATTCTTATCATGGTTCTAAGAGGGGTATAGTAAACCCCTATAAGAGAATATGAACAATGGTGGTATACTAGGAATATAATAGGGCCCTAATATAATCATATATAATCCTTATGGTCACTATTACAGGGTGGGGGCAGCTTCTAAAGTAAACCCCTAAGCCCGTAAAGTAAACGCCAGAAAGTTGGAATATGATTATCCTAAACCTTTTCTGGTAAATTATAAGGTATCCTACCCTGAAACCATATTCCAACTTTCTGTTGTTCCCTTCAAACAATAAACCCTTATAATAGGAATATAATAGGGCCCTACTATAATCCTATATAATCCTTATAGTCACTATTACAGGGTGGGGGCAGCTTCTAAAGTAAACCCCTAAGCCCGTAAAGTAAACGCCAGAAAGTTGGAATATGATTATCCTATATAAACCTTTTATGGTAGATTATAAGGTATCCTACCCTGAAACCATATTCCAACTGTCTGGAGTTCCCTTTAAGGCAGCCCTCAATTAACTAATCTAGTTTTGCGGGGGACCTCTGCTGGTAGCCCTTTAAGGAAATTAGGAAAAAAGGTTATACCACTATTACAGGGTGGGGGCAGCTTCTAAGGTATAGTGAACCCCTGAGCCCGAAGGCAGAATCTGTGAGTTTCCGATATTAGGGGTACCCTCTTTGGGGGTCCTTGTAAAAAGGATCCTACTATTTCGGGTACTATATTGGGGTCCACTATTTTCGAAAACTGCCATCTAGTTCAGTATCAGGTCGCCTGCGGCAGGAGACGAACCGCTGGAAGGCCCCCGTTTTTGAACCACGTCCTGTAGGGGCTTTAGGACCCTACCAGGACCCTCCTTGTACCCTCAAATAGGGGTATATGGTCCCAAATAAGGGGCATTTAGGGTTTAATAGAGGGTAGATGGAGGGTCTAGGTAGGATTTGGGGTTTAGGGTTGGGGTTCGGTTCAGGATTGTAGGATTTGGGGCTTATAAGGTCACTTGATGATGGCCTTCGTGAGAGCCCAGTTGTAAAAGGTGTGTTTTTGTGCAGGGGCCTTGACTAGTAAAATACGAGCAGCCAATTCGGAGGGTGTCTAATTTTAGTGCGGTTTGTAGGGTGTAGTACTGCGGCCTTAACAATTGAAAGTAGTGGTCAGGTTCTAGCACGTGAGGTGTGTCGCTGCTGTTAGTTTTGTTGCTCTTCAGAGCTACACCATGCACGGCCCATTTTTGTCCTGCGCATGCAGGATCTTTCGAGACGCACCACATCGCCATCTTCGCGCCTTTGGCGGCACTTCAGGCTTAAAGCTTCTGTTGTGTTGGCTTCAAGTGGAACAACTGCTGGTATTCTTACTTTCGACTCTTTGTATATCTCCGTATTGTTGCAGTGGCCATGAATTTTATTGCCATCCTGGTCAGTGCTTGGAGTCAGAACGGGCTCATGCTTAAACTAGGGATCGGGGGGCGGTTATGAGTATATGATTACAACTATAACTGGGAACTCTGAGAGAGGAACACTGCTAGTTTATCGCGACCCTGAGTCCTAAGCTCTGATCCCTATGTGGCTTACTTTCAGGGGGATGCTTCAGAAGGCAGGGGTTCCTGGACTTGTCTTTGCTCGAGTCGGTTTGGGTCCGAAGGGTTTGATTTTACGGTGTTGCAGCTTAATTGCAGCCGCCAAGACATCCGAGCAAGGGCGATGGTTTAAATTTGTCAGACTACTTAGCAGCTCATAGTGGGCGTCACAACATCCAAAATCCTGAGGGGTACTTAGAATTTTGTTTTAATTTTTGGTTGTTATAATCCCTAAGAAGCAGCTAAAACTATACTTTTTGCTAGGGTTCTAAGTTCAGTATAGAATCCGCCAGCCCAACTTTGCGGAGCTGTGTATGGCAGCAGTGCTGTTGAGCGATCAGGGCATAGGCTGACCCCCGGAGAACCCAGACCTTCCAAAATCCCTTAATTAAGGAATATACCTTAATTCATATTAGGGATCCTATCATAATTTAAGGTATATTCCTTAATTAAGGGATTTCGGAAGGTTTGGCTATTTGGGATCATGTCATGATCCCTAAGGGTCCTTGTACGGTTGTGGTAAGTAGACATGTTGGCCCTAAGTACTAAGTACCTGTATCGGAACTACTTCAAGGCGACAGTCTCTGATGTTGGAGTACATGGACCATCAAGGGCTAGTCGTCGCAACGAAGGGAACCCATGACCAGGCCTCCAGTCTTCAGACACTCATGGTCGGCAAGGGAAGCCCTAGAGTCTAAAATAGGGGCCTTGATAATTAGAGTAGGGTTTTGGGCCTAATTAAACTAGAACTGTCATAAATAAGGACCCCCCCAAAAAAACAGTATAGGTATTTATTTATACCCCTAGATTAGAGGCGAAGTGTTTGTGATCTCTTTATTTATGGAGCTCAGGATTCAGGCTTCTCATCTTAAGCTCTGCAGCCCCATCTCTGCAGGATTGTGGTGGTCAGGTTCATGAGCCCCAAAAATTATAACCCTAAACCCTAAACGCTAGGATTTGCAGACAAATTTATCAGGCCGGTCGAGGACTGGTGGTGCCATAGCATGCCTTTGTACCCCGCGATAGTAAGAGCATGAAGACAACGTATCCTGTAAAGAGGGAGACCTTGTGAAGGAGACCAGTCTTAAACACGACTTCTGGCTCTCTTGGAAGGGACCTTATTGAGAGGGTCTATATATCCTCAAGGGCCCCCTTAACTTTAACTCCTCTGTAACCCTTGAAGTAACCTTCTGGGCATAGCCGTGAAACCTCCCCAGCCCCGAAACACCCCAAGAGTCCCGCACAGTTTTCATAGGCCTGAACCCTATGCCCAAGAGAAGAGTACCGGAGTCTTTGAAAATAAACCCTGTATCCTAAACCCGATCCTCTTAAACCCTAGTTAAACGCAAACCCGGCACTTCGCAGACAAAAAACACATGCCCCAAAGCAAGCCTAAACCCCCAAACCCAAGCCCCTTAAAGACTTCCCGCTTTATGGTTCCGTAGAGGAAATAGGGGCACCTTATAGTCTATCGTTGCAAGAGATGCAGTCAGGTTCCAGGTGGCAACGAGTCCTTTGCAGCCCTTCGGTGGGGCACGGCTCTGGCGCGGTCGCCGTTGGAGGCCCCCATAAGGGTACGAAAATCTTGGGTTTCCTGGTAGGGCTCGTTAGCCATGAGTCAGTCGTAACAAAGGGGCCTAAGTCGTCACCACAACCTTCTTTCGGCTTCCTTACTCGGCTTATAGTTGGATATATACCCCAAAACTTATTCCAATTATCAATGCGCCTATATCAGTGCTTTCGTTCATTCAGGGTTTCAGTTTTTGAGGGTCGGCCCCTTCGAAGTTGAACAGCGCCCGGACAGCTCCCCACGAATAGAATTTTGTTTTTGGGTGATGCGGGTGTCAGAGTTTGGGCTCAGAGGGCTTGTGAGAGGGATTTTCTGGCATTGTGCCCGCTTTTGACTTGCTTTTGCTGAGCCCGTGTTGTTCACTACCCCAAGGGTCCAAGTACCTAATAATCATATACTCTCCAAAATCCTAACCTACATAACTACTATCCTAAAACCGAGTACCTAATTATTGGGACCATTGGACCCTTAGGGCTAGTGCTGCAGAGCTGAACTGTTGAGTCATGCCTGGAAGCTTTGACGGCCCCAGGTCCTGAACTTAACTTCCGAAATTTCGAGCCGTAAATCTTAAGCAAACCCGAAGCAACACACTCACTAGTTCGCTGTACTGTAGCGAATGAGGAACGACCCGCTGTGTATAGCAACACGATGCAACACCTACTTGATCCTTGATTTCCTGTCAGTGAGTGCTCGCGAAGACTTTGCTGCAGACCTTCTCCGGTCATCAAACCCTACCGCAAAGTAGCTCGTCAAAACAGGAGGTGCTACAATTCAGGGTTCAGGAAGGAGCAAGAGCTTGCGATCTCGCAGCGACTCGTGCCGCTTGCTGCTTAGGTTTGCGGCATGGGGCCGTTTAGGGTTTAGGGTCTAGGGCAGGCGGAGCACTGCATCGGTCGAGTAAACAAGCTTAAACTTGTCCTTGCTGGAATAGGGAGGTCTGAACCATTTCTACGAGCATGTTCTCCATGGTCCACCTTATGGCTTTTCTAGTATATGGTAAAATATTCCCTAAAAGCTCATTGAAGTCATTGAGGCCCCCATCGACCGTCAATCCCTTACAGAACCGTTCAGGATTCATGTAAAGGATCCCAACTTGAATTACTGAGGTCCCCATACTAATAAACCCTTAAGGCACCCCAATAGTACCTTTAAAAGGCCCTTCACTCTAATCATCAAGGTTCCTAAACCCTTAGCCAATCATGAAGGCCCCCTAAAAGTAGGATTAAGAGTTCAGGGCTCAGGGTTTAGGGTTTGAGGGTTTAGGTTTAGTTTCCATTCATTGAGGCCCCCCAATTACACAAAGTAGGTGGATGACATGCCGAGCCCGGCCGTGAGCAGCTCACCTGGGCCCTTGGCGCCTTGGTCCGGGTATATTCTATGGGGCTTGAGGCTTGGATTTAAGGTTTTGGGGGTTTAGGGTTTGGGGCTTCGGTTTCAGGATTTGGGGTTTAGGGTTTGAGGTTTAGGGTTGGGGTTTAGGGTTCGGGGTCTAGGTTTTGGGATTTAGGGATTGGGATTTATTAGGGTTTGGGGTTTGGGATTCAGAGTTTGGGGTTAGGATTGGTGATTTGGGTTTGGAGTTTCATGGAATCGCCTGACGTGCAATAATCTGGACCGAGAACGGATCCTTATGTGACAAGGTCCCACCCACCACAAACAAGGCTCTTATATGCTCTCTTTTTGAGAAAGCCCTTTGCTGAACTAAGAAAGATAATTACCGTAAATCGATGTGAGGATCCCTTTTCAACTGCAGCTTGAGTGGCAAAGCCGTAAATCCAACTTGGGTTCCCTGCTGTTTCCCAGACGGCGTGCCGCTGTCGGTTCAGAATAATGATGCTGCATTTCCCAGGCCCTTAGTACCCGAGCTAGAGATCGCATCATGCCCTGCCAATATCTTCCAGCATGTCATGTGAAGAGTGGGGCGACCCTGTGCCCACACACGTTCCAGGTGTGTTTTCTCGACAGTTTTAGGGTGGAAAATTGAATATGTGTTGAGTAAGTGCTTCAGAACTTTATGTATTGTTTTTGTCGGTGGGTTCAGGATGTGCGGGTATAGGTTGTAAAGTTTACGAAGTAAGCCCTAAATCATTCTTTGCATACATGTCTGAATATACATATACATGCATGTATATGTATGTACGTCTGCATGCCTGCCTGCCTGCCTGCCTGCCTGCGAGTCTGCATGAATGTATGCATGTATGCATGCATGTATGTATGTATGAATGTAGTTATGTATGTATGTAAACAGGTATGGGTGTATGTATGCATGGATGTATGTATGTAACTGTATGTTTGATGTATGCTTGTATGCATGTATGTGTGTGTATGTATGTAGCATTGTATCTATGTATGTTTGTTTGTATGCGTATGTGTGTATGTATTAGTGTATGCATGTGTGTCTGTCTGTATGTAATTGAATGAATGAATGTATGTATGTATGTATGTAGTTCATGGCATGGCATGGTATGGTATGTGTGTGCATGGACGCATGTATGTATGCATTTAGGTATGTATGTATGCTTGTATGTATGTTTTGATGTATGTATGCTTGTATGTGTGTGTATGTATGTGCGTGTATGTATGTGTATATTCATGTATATGCATATGTATATGTATATGTATGTCTGTATATCATGGTTTGGGGTCGGAAAACGACGCCTGCATTATGCTATAATATCAGCATGCGATCAGTATCATCGGCATCATGACAAAAACAAGGAAACTGTGGCCTTTAAGGCTCTAGGACGTTCAAAATGGCGGATGCACTTGTAGATTTTTGACCGATGATGGTGGGGACGATCAGAGCGATTTGACGGCAGTGCAAAAGCTAATCCTGACTAGAGGTCCTTGTGCTACACGTGATGGTGCTTCCGTTCATACTTGCAGACGTTGTCTCGGAACATCTCGTGCCACGGAGACGGCACTGGAAATGGGTCTGTTCCCGGAGGCCCATGCTTGGAACGTGGGCATCTGGTCGACGGACAAAGAGCAGTTGTTGATAGCATGTTCCAGAAATTTCTCATGCCAAGACTTCCAAAATTGGCTAGACCTGCAGAGGATTACATTTGCTCTGAGCCCTCGTCTTCCTGCATCGACGGCTTGCCCTCGCATCGCTAGGGGCCTGTGCGGCTACAACCCCCAGCCATTGCTGAGACATCGCC